GGGAAAGCCCCGCGAGAGACACAGAAGAGCGCAGAGGAGTGTAGAATGTATAGAGATGCATGCATATATCGGCATATTGAAGAGCACAGCAAAAGATACATCTAGCCATACATCAACGCACACAGCCTGCTGGGCAGCGGCTAAAGAGTGAAGCACGGTTCCTTTCCCCATATATATATATACACGACTTCAGAGGCGGGCATATATATATATATATATATATATATATATATATATATATATATATATATATATATATATATATATGGGGAAAGGAACCGAATCAGATGTGGCATTGATAGAGGAATTACGTGTGTCGTACTGAGGGTAAAGATATACGCCATCCACTGTACAGCGCATCGGACGGAGGAGATGTCTGGGGAGGATATGACTCTCGGCGACAGCGTCGATGCCATGAAAAGCACTAACAGGCACACACACAGAGGCACAGGGAAGCATGTGCATGCATACGAGCTGGTTGTGAGTCAGTCGCGTGGAGTGTAGGCAGGAGAAGCAGGAAGGAAAAGAAAGCTGCCTGAGTAGCGGCTGTCGGGGGAGGGGGGGCGGGGGAGGAAAGGGCAGAAGGGGTGAGAGTATATCACGCTCAAGCGATGCAAGAAAAGCGAGTGAGGACAGCGTTTCGGCAGAAGTCAAAATGCAGGCGGGATGCGCGGCAGCAGCATCGGTCTCACGTACATAGCGGTAGATCCCAGCAGAGAAACAAAAGGACGAGCCATTCGCGTATCTTTATGAACAGGAGATATATGAGCATAAATTGTTGCACGCTGAATAGGAGCATCGCGACTAGCAATGAAAAGGTTCCTGGGGGGATGAAGCATCCAACGAAGAGCCTACGGGATCCCGAACGGCCCGTGGAGGCCCCTAGGGGCCCCCCCCCGCTTTCTGAAGGCCTCGAAGTGGTTAGCGGCATTGACAAGACACACTGGGGGTGCTCTTGCGAGGAGCAGATTCACAGAACCTCGGGGTAGAGCTCGCTGCTGCTGCTCGCCGCAGCAGCGGCAGATTGCTGCTGCTGCAGCGTGGCGTTAAGGCCGGCAGCTGCGGGGGCAGCAGCTGCATTGGGGGCTGCTGCCGAGCCTTCGCTGATAGCTAGTGCAGGTGTTGAACTGACTGCCCCTGCTGCTGCTGCTGCTATTCAGACGCTGCTGCTTGCCGAAAAATCAGAACAGCAGTGAGCTTTCCTCACTTTCGGCCATGTATGAGAGAAAGAATCAGGATCTAGGCTCTAATTCAAAGAAGTCGACTGGGGGTACGTACACTTCAATGCGCAGCAATGGACTAGAAGCTTCTTCGCCACGGATAGGGCATGCCCTTAGGCTTCAAAATTGCGCGTTTGGGTGGTCTGGCTCAGAATTATGCGATTTTGATACGGAAAAGGCCGCTGCAGAGTTTACGACTTTGTCATTAGACATGGGCCCTTGTCGGGGAGGCTCTGGGCGATGCAACTCCCGCTGACGTTCAGCCCAGGATTTACGCTGCCTTGATTGAATCCATTTTTCAGTGTTTTTTTTCATTTAAGACTTCACGGCGCCAGCAGCAGCAGCTCCAAGCCAGTGGGCACCGCTGCAGTGGTAAGCGGCGGCTGCAGCAGCAGGAGCCGCAGCGGCCGCTGCTCGGGTGTCTGTACAGCAGCAGGAGCCGATGCTCCTGAGGGGCTCTCTTAAGCACTCTATTCTTTGCTTGCAGCTTTATTCCTTCTGCTGTTGCAGTGTCTTCAGGCTAGCGGTGATAGGGCATTTCGCTTTGCTGCTGCCGCCCCAGCAGCAGTAACAACAGCACGATCTCAGACTCCACCGATACTAAGACAGCAGATTTTCTCGCGGCTCCCACGCCTTCACGGGTGCTCCATCTCATGGGTTTAGCTGCGGCATCAGGAATTTCAGCGGACGACCACGGGTTTGTCGGCAGTTTGCGCCTAGCAGCTCCGAAAGCTCTGCTGGCGTTCTGCATGCAGCACTCCGTTGGGGGCTTACGGGCACTAGGCGGTCCCCTAGCGCCACTGGCAGCAGCAGAGTCCTTGTATTCTTCGCGCCGCTGCTGCCGGGGGTAACAGGAGCCTTGCAGTGCATCCTTCAAGCCAGAAGCGGCAGCAGCGTGAGCAGGAGCACCTGGGGAGGGACCCTCGCATAGGCAACACAGAAAACAGACGCTGCGCTGCAAAGCGACCATCCCTAGCAATTACACAAGAGGCGTCCGTCTCGGGAGCCGCAGCGGCAGCGGCAGCCGCGGCTGCCGCTGCTGCTGCCGCAGAAAACAAAGTCCAGTTTGCTTGCAAGTCGCTAGCAGCAGCCGCAGCACCAGCAGCAGCCTAAGCTCGTTCTTATGTAGACAGCAGCCGCGTGCTTGTGCCAGCTCTGGGCCTGCAGCAGCAGCAGTAGAGCAAAGATGAGCACCTTAACAGTTGGCAGTGGAGGCTTTCCAGCAGCAGCAGCAGCAGCACCAGCTGCTGCTGCTGCAAAATCATCCTCAGGCAGCAGTGGCAGCGGGGTGGGGTCTGCATCCTCGTCCTCAGCAGCAGCAACAGCAGCAACAACAGCAGCAGCAACAGCAGCAGCAACAGCAGCCTCTGGGATACCTGGATTTCCCCGAGCTGCACACCAAGCGGGAGAGGTTCCTTCTCCGCGGTTTGGGCATACTTCAACTTACATCGGCATGAATCGAGTCATTGTATTTGGTGGAGCTATCGGGTGTAAGTGGAGCTCCTCTGTGGATGCAGCCATTGCTATCCCCCCCTCTGATGCTTCTACCGAGATTCATCTCGCTTCCCTGAAAAGACAGCTAGCTAGCTTTCTTTTTTTCCTCTCTCTCTCTCTGTGTGTGTGTGTGTGTCTCTCTCTCTATCTCTGTCTGTCTGTCTGTCTCTCCGTGAATTCAGCGTCTTAGCACTTTAGTGCTCTCGGTACAGTGTCTGTCTAAAAAACAATGTCTTTGTGATTGCACGCCATCGTTACGGCTCCTCCGTATGTATGCCTTGTGTGTCTTGCTGCTTCTGCCTCTGCTTCGTCGTTTTTTCTCTCTCTGTCTCTCTCGACGTCTCTGTGCACCTGATGAGGCTCTAGGCTCTCTTGTGCAATGCCTGTTTGCACCTTGCCTCTGCTGCCGATATCAGCGCGGATTTATCTGCTTGCGTAAGGCCTTTTTCTGAACTCGATTGTCGCATCTGCGTCTTGCTGCGGATCCTACTTCAGCTGCGGGAGGCTACAGCATCACAAACGAGACGTATCTTTTTGACGGTGCCTCGGCCTCCTGGCGACGCGTTCTTGCAGAAAATCCTCCTAATCCGCGGGCTGCACATGCCGCTTGTTGCGTGGATGCCCTCCAACTTGTCATTTTTGGAGGAGCGACGGGAGGGGGTAGCCTTAGTCCAGAAGAGGTAACACCTTGAATACAGGCTCCTTGCGGGCAGAGCTTCGAGGGTCGAAAACGTGTCTTTCTGCATGTCCATCAAGATCCTAAGTGTATCCCTCTCAACTGGCATGTATGTGTATGTGTTCATGTGTCTGTGCGTGTCTGTGAATGTGTGTATGTATGTATATTTATGTGCGCATATGTGTGTTTATGTATTTGTATGTATATGTATGTGTGTATAGCTATGTTTGTGTGTATTTATGTGTGTTCATGTATATACATGGGTGTACAGCTATGGTTGTGTGTGTTTAAGTGTGTGCATGTGTGCTTATGTATTTGTATGTATGTGTATGTGTGTGTAGCTATGTTTGTGTGTGTATGTATATTTATGCATATGGATGTGTGTGTAGCTATGTTTGTGTGTGTATGTATATTTATGTATATGGATGTGTGTATAGCTGTGTTTGTGTGTGTCTAAGTGTGCATGTGTATATGTATGTGTGCTTATGTATGTTCATGTGTGTATGCGTGTGTGTTGAAGTGCGAGTATTCGCATGTACATTCATGTGTGTCTTCGGGGTGGGGGCATCTTGTGTGCAGCTATATTTGTTGGATGTTCGGAAGGAGCCGCAGCTGCAGTGGCTTGCTGTACCGATCCAGGGGAGGACCCCTGGCCGCCGTTACGGCCATGTGATGGCGTATTGCAAGCCGAACATCATTGTTCATGGAGGCAATGACGGGTAATAACTTCGGAAATGGAGTGTAGCTGCAGCAGCCGCGAGGGGTTCTCCCGAGGGCAGCAGCCCGCTGCCTCTGCAGCTCACGGGAGAAGCCAGTTGTTGTCGCGAGACATTATGGCATTCTTTCTTTCGATGTGTCTACGTCTGTGTGGCATGTAGAGAGCATCCGCTGAGCGACGTGTGGCACATGGACGTTGAGGCATCGCCTTTCCACTGGACAGAAGTGCAACTCGGATCCGAAATGAAGAGGCCTCTGCCAAGGGTGTATCATGCAGCCGAGGTCAGTTGCAGGGGTTGCGCACACCGTGTTTCGCAGAAATTCTTTTGGAGGCGGCTGCCGCAAAGTGCATGCATGTCCTCTTTAGGAGCCGTGCAGTAGTAGCAGCAGCAGCACCTCTAGGGGCCTCGGGATGAAGCTTGCGAGCGCTGTGCAGCAGCCTTTTTTGCATCCCATGAGTGCTCTGTTTTCTTGGCTTTTCCCTCTTGCAGCTAGTGTACTATCGCTTGCTCTCCTCCCTGTTTCGGCTTGCCTCTCCCAAAAAAGGCGCGCTGGCCTTTTTTCTGGCCGCTACACCTCCACTTACGCCTGCCTGCATGCGCAACTCATCTTCATCTTTTTCTCTTTCTGTGCAGGTTTGCCGGGAGGGGCCAGCGAGCGGCATGCTGGTGATTTTTGGGGGGAGAGACAGCAACAGTCGAAGTCTTGCGGATGCGTGGGGTCTTCGGCAGCACAGGGACGGGAGATGGGATTGGGTAGAGGCCCCTTGCAAGAAACAGACGCTTCCTGAAGCGCGTTTTCAGCACTGTGAGTCCGAAAGGAGAGTCTCTTGCTAGGCTTCGGGCTGTTTATGGGGGCTTGGAAACAGCAGCTGCGACGTTTCGATGTCACAACACGTCTGTCTGCCAGTTGAGAGGCGGGAAAAAGAGGGGGGCGGAGGCGCAGGGTCGATCGAATGCATCTTTAATCAGCGGCCATTTGTGGCAGAGCTCTTGGGGTTTTGCAGCAATTGTCTTTTTGGATTCAAAGATGGTCGTCATTGGGGGGCGAACTGATGGCGACTGCTCCAAGTAAGCAGATGCAGCAAGCAGTGGAAGCAGCAGCAGAAACAGTAGCAGAAACAGCAGCAGAAATAGCAGCAGAAACAGCAGCAGAAACAGTGTTTGTGTACCATGACCAGGAATATGTTTGGGCGGCATGAACTGGCTATTGGATTGTTTTTGGGGTGTTTTCTATCCGCTGCAGGCCTCTTTCCACGGCTGTATATGACACCGAGACAGTCGAGTGGAGGCTGCTGCCAACTATGGGCCGTGTATGTCTGATGCTGCAGTCGCGATTCTGGGAAAGCCCTTTGAGTGCAGCAACGTGTCATTCTTTGAAACACGCAAGCGTCTTCTGCATGCGTGTCTGCTATTGCGCTGCGGCTGCAGTTCCGCCACAGCAGCTGGGCGCTAAGAAATACGGTATTTACATTTGGTGGCTTTGGTCATGCGACACAGCAGCATCCAACAGCGGAGCTGCTGTTCATGGACTGTTCTCGTAAGCCGGAGCTGGCGATGGGTTGTTGCTTTCTGAGTTGTTGTTGGTGGGAGACAAGGGAGGGAATAGCGCGCTTCCTTTATTAAGGGGGTCTGCGTTTTTGCATGCATGCATGCATTTGGGGGAGGAAGGGGAATGGCGTCGAACTAAGAAGAAGCAGCCCTTGGTATCGCCATCGACACTTGAAGTATTTATTGCAGGCTTTTTTGTGTGGGGACTCTTTACCCGCGGCTGTGCGGTGCGTTGTGAATGGCGTTTCCGCAAACGCGGCTTCAGAAATTCCCAACTTTTACAGCGAAGTAGAGAGGGATGAACAGAGGAGCAGGGCGACTCGCCAGCGGCAGCAGGCCTTGGCCATCACAGCAGCAGTCTCAGCGCAACAGCCACAGCAGCAGCAGCAGCAGCAGCAGCCGATGCAACAGCGTGCACTCGCAGGACGCCTCACCAGCGGGCAGCCTGCAGCGGCAAGCTCCATTCCTGCTGTTGCAGGGGCTGTCGCTACACAGCAGCAGCCACAGATACCTTATCAGATGCAGAGCTCCCTTACCTTTGCTCGCCAATCTACGGGCCTTAGTCGGCAAGGAAGTCGTGCTGCTGATGTGGGTTGTTGTTGCTGCTGCAAGTGCGGCTCCGATTGCCGTTTCTGCTGCATTGACCTCTGCACTTGCAGGGCTGCATGCACTAGGGTGTGCGACAAGACTTTTTCTGCAGATTCGACTCGCTTCGCACGCCTCAGTGGTGCAGGAACAAAGGGGGGACTTTTCAGCCCTCGTCAGACGGGTATGCGATGCTGCCGCCATTGAGGCTGCTGCTGGGGGTGGTAGTGGTGGTAGTGATGCTGCTGCTCCCCGTGCTGCTGCCGTTTGATAAACAGCGTTTGTGTGTTGCGTGTATATGTCTGCATGCATGCGCAGATATCGATAGATAAACTGGAGGAGGAAGGACGGAAGATCAACAAAGCAGGGTGTAGCAGCTCCGCATCGATGACGCTGACGCCTGCTGCAGCAAGAGCAGTAGAACTGGCGGACAGGATCGTCCGGATACTGCTGCGGCCGTTGCTCACACAGGATGAACTTATGAATTTGTTTGCAACGGATGCGCCTTTCTGCATTCCCTGGGCTGATGTCAACGAGCTGTGTCGTGTGGTGCGCCGAGTTTGCGGGTGGACGCTGCTGTTGCGGTAGTGGCGAGTGATGGTGCTATTGCTACTGGATACACCACACTTTTTCTGGGTGCAGATTTTGGGGTGGTTAATCTTTTTGGCGTGCTGGCTTGGATTTTTGTGGGATTTGTGGTCCTTTGTGCGTACAGGTGACAGACATTTTTAAGGAAGAGGAGATGGTGCTGAATCTGCGCGCTCCCATCAAGGGTAAGTTGGGGTGTATGGACACGCAGTGCAAGCGCCCAGCCGTTACGGATCCTATGGCTGTCCGTGAAGGAGGCCCCAAATTGTTGATTCCGGGTTTTATGTGCACTTATTTTTCGGTTTTTCCTGTGGCCAAAGAGGCAGATTTGCATGAAGGGAGTTCTGAAAGTTCCTGGCGTGGCGTCGCCTCTAGGCAGCATGCATGTGCATGTGTGTGTGCTCGGCGCCTCTGTGTGTGTGTGTGGTGTGAATGCATTCCCGTGCGTGTTGCAGTGTACGGGGATATCCATGGGCAGTATCACGATCTTATGCGTCTCTTCCAACTTTACAAAATGCCTGTAGAAGAGGAAGAGACGGAGGAATATTTATCAGGGAGCAGGGGCCCTCGGGCTGCCGCCCCTTGCGGAGATCTCGACTCCACCGATTACCTCTTCTTAGGAGACTACGTGGACAGGGGCAGCCATTCCCTTGAAACCATTTGCCTTCTCTTCGCGCTGAAGGTGTGGCACAGGTTCAGTGGATGTCTCCTGCCGAAAGGCGCTACAGCTTGGCAGAGCACATGGCAGATGTTTCCAACTCAGTATCACCATAAAGTCCCCCATGAGCGCGCGCCTCTAGCCAGGCTGTGTGTTCGGTCGGCTGGCTAGCTGGCGTGCTCACACGCGCTGACACGGCGCAGTAAGGTCACCGTGTACTTACATCCCTTGTATGCTCCTCTCTTCTGGGGGCGCACCACCGCTGCTCCCTCTCTATAGCATCCATCCACCCATCCTCAGGTCCTCCTCGTGGTTGCAATGTCTGACTCCTCACCAGGTGAAATATCCTCGTCAAGTCCATCTGATTCGTGGGAACCACGAAGATCCCGCCATCAACTCTTTGTACGGATTCCAAGACGAGTGCAGGCGGCGTCTTCATGAGGATCCAAACGATCCTGCTTCCTGTTGGAGGGCCTTTAATGCTGCCTTTGAGGTCCTTCCGGTGGCTGCGCTTGTGGAGGGCTGCGTCCTCTGCCTGCATGGGGGCATTGGGGGGTCGATACACTCGGTGGCTCAGTTGGAGGCTTTGGAAAGGCCCCTCAAAGTCGCGCAAGTCCCTCAAACGCCGCAGGTGGGCGGAGGAAACTGGAAGAGCATTGCCGCGAGCTGTGTGGCTTGTTGCTGCGAATGCACCTCTCAGCTCCCCCGCTGGCTGGCTAGCTGGCTAACCAGTAACCGCGGTTGCTGAGCTAGAGGAAAAGGAGCTATTAGTGAGATATATATGTATATATATATATTTATAGTTGAGGTTTCCCGGATTTCGTGTGTCTCGATTCTTCCGCAGGAGCAACAAGTCACCGACCTCCTATGGTCTGACCCAACGGACAGTGATGCAGTTTTAGGCGTCGCGCAAAATGAGATTCGAGATCCAGATGGCTCAGGCAGGATCTGCAAGTTTGGGCCTGATAGAGTGCACCAGTTTTTAGCAGACAACAGGCTTTCGCTTATTATCAGGTAGGCCTCAAGCATGGACTCCGCATTGCGCAAGCATCTGCCAAGCTGTACATCAGGCAGAATCAGGGATTGAAGCCCATGGCATACGCGCATGGCGCACTTGCAGGGAGACATACTCGGGCTAAGGGTTGATTACAACAACTTCGAAGGAGCAGCATTCAAGACAGGGATCTACGATTTTGTGCTTTTGCACTTAGGGCCCATGAGTGCGTTATGGATGGCTTTGAGCGCTTCGCCGGCGGGAAGCTCATCACGCTTTTTTCGGGTATGTCGGGAACGTGCACGCCTTACGCGTTCACCCGTGCAGTGTGCCACTGCGTTGGCCCTTTGCATACTGCAGAAAGCGTAGAGATAGGGGTGAGGGCTAATTAACGTCTGTCCGGGGTGTATTGTGTGCAGCAACGAACTACTGCAATCACCACCAAAACGCGGGTGCCCTTTTGTATATTCGGAGGGACCTAACGATTATCCCCAAGCTCATTTACCCTGCTAACGCAATGTCGCAGTACATAACTTGGTAAGCGCAGCTGCAGATGCCTCGCGTATGTATGCTTGCTGTCTGAGAATGCATGATTTAAAGGCCTCTTTACGTGGTGTATCTATCATACGCTCCAGACTGCACGAATAGGCAGAAAAGCAACGCCGCTGCACTTTCCAGTGTGCATGCAAGCGTTTTGCCCTTGCTTTGGCGGGCAGGTGTGTGAGTGTGTGTTTGTCATATGTTTACATGGCCACCCGGTTCGTGACGTGTGCTACAACCCACCCCGACCCCTGGTGTTTCTCCTTTCAAATACTGTTTCCTGAGTTTGCATCTATGCGCATGCATGGAGAATCTGACAATACGTCGAAGCGTCATTTCGGTATGCTTATTTCTGTGTATTTTTGCTGCACTAGGGACGAAAGAATGACGGAACTGCGGCCTCCGACGCCGCCCCGTGCTCCACCCCGCATGCGGGAGCAGCATGATTTCGAGGGATAAGGTGTACGTACACCTCAGCTAGATGCTTCTCGCACTTTATGCACCGCTGCAGTACCTTTCGCTGAATTTGCGGTGCAAGAGAGACAGTAGCGGGCTGTGTTTGCGCGTGTAGTACGTGCACCTTTAACCTAATCGTGTAGTGCAAACCCTTGTCGCCTTCTTCGCTCCTCGCTATTCATGTGCTGGAATCCACAGTTGCACGTACTTCTCTGCACGGATATGTAGACATATTTTGTCTAAGTACGTGCCGAAGTAGATGCAAGTGCATGAATCCGTGACAATGGCACATGTCCGTGGATCTATGAACCCGCATAGCAGCATCATATGCATTCACAAGTATGCTTATGAAGACTCACTGAACTCCTGGGGTCTCCCTTTAACGCGCATCTAGTGAGCGCAGCTATAACATCGCCAAGAATTTAGGGGATGCGGCCTTGGGCTTCAGAAAACAAGAGTCCACAGCACGGCTGGCCAAGCGTCCTGAACTTTGTCTGCCTCTGTGCGTTTATTGCTAACACACCTGGCCTCGTACACATGCATGTTTTGTGTGCCGTTTTTTGCCCCCTACAACACCCCCGCCCTTTTAGAACCTTTGTACGAAGGGGTTTGTAGGCAATAGGGCTTGGAGGAATGTGCTTTGTACGTAAGCCACGTATGTGAACGCACAACCATGTGTGCCTAGGCATCTATCGATATATTCAGATGCGAAGTATACTCCCACCAGAAAAAAAGTTAATACGGGTAGAAATAATCACGTTCCTAAAATGTAGGTCTCCACCCAAACGAGCCCCTCCGCACATCCGCATGTATGCAAGTATATATACATATATATAGTGTGCCTCCTGTGTACGTACACATACGTAATGGATATAGGTGCGTCGTAGTATGGCTTTTGCATTGCATACACAGCCACAGCCCTTGGAGCACGACTGGCGTGGACAGTGACGGAGTGGCAGCCGGGGGGACAGAGGAGGGAAGACAGCCTGTGCTTCTCTGCCGAGCCTTCCTAGAAATACCGACAAAAAGGAAGCTCGACCACCCCCGAAGCTATTTCCTACCTACCACTTCCTGAGAAATAGCGGCACCAACCTAAAAGTCGGGGCCCCTAGAAAGCACTTCCTTTCCGTGCATGCCAATGTAGACTGTGTGCTCCATCTGGGAGGTAAAGGAGCCCATGACGTCTGACAAGGGAGGGTAAGGAACTACAATCCCTGTTTTGACGAGCTGCTGCAAAGCCATTTGATGCTGCGGTGCTCCCGCAGCGTCTAGCCAACGGCGGCAAAATGCCAGAGTGCCAAAGTGCTGCGGAGGAAGCACAGGCGGCAGATGGCGAGACAGTCCATGCACTCATGAGCACCAAAGTGTACTGCACGATCCTGCGAAGTCCCCCCCATTTCCCTCAGCACTTTGCAGACGGGGCAAACCCTAGGCTCAGAGCACACTGACAATCCCTACACACGGCTAAACAGAGACGCGCGCAAGGCTTGTCTGCGGGATACATGCGACGGAGAGTTCGGCAGACACTTAGAAACCTATATGTTCTTGCACGTAAAGTCCAAATAGCGTGCATACACACACATACATACATACACATACACTTGGCAGTTACGCTGTCTAGAGAATCCTCAAAAAACGCAAAAAGAGAGGCACTCTCCTCGCAGGGTGCACATGCGCGCATACATCCATACACCCGAAGAGTTCGTTGCCAGATCATGCCGTCTTACCTCGTCGATAACCTTCAAAAGGTCCCTAGCACTCTTGAGTCTGAGCGGGACAAATCCGCATTCAAAGTTTTTCATGTAGTGGGAGCAGTCACCGTCATCTTGCACAAAGCCTTTCCCCGTTGTGGCGAAAGTCTCGATGGCGTACAACTCGCCCTCCTCCATTCGGTTGAACGCGGCTTGACTGTGCTGCGCTGACTTCACAATGGGCACAGATTTGCCTGCGAAGCCCCAACGGCAAGCGCATGCAACACAGCGAGAGGCGAATTGAATGGCCACCCACGAAGAGCGCAACTCCACACGCGCGTTTTGGGGCTTGCAAAGCACTTTCGCGAATCGCTATATGGACCTGCATGAATCCTGTACGGTGCAATAGAGTGCCCCGTAAGATTCCGAATAGGCTTCACGGGGAAGACGGAGCCGTCCATGGAGCACTCGAAGGAAGATATCGTCTCTTCAATTGCGCATCCGATCTCAGACAGCCTCGCATCCACGCCGGCGAGACGAAGCCCGACGTTGGTGGCCTCCTGCGCATGCAACACGGCGAACATCGAAGGCGTAGCGATGCATTCAGCTTTGAATCGCTCACGCGCTGCAGCCATGATGACGGGCGCTGTCACCTTTCCCTACCGTGGCAGCCTGCACGATGATCTCTCACCACACCCCCAGTGCTCTGCGTCGAAGACACCCCAGCAGGCGCATGCAAAGCCCCCTGCAAATCACGCCAAAGCCCCCTAGCCACCAACCTGCGTTGCCTGGATAAGAGGATCGAATTTCGGATCGAAGGCAATAGAAAACGCGCAGTCAATGATGCGGCCCCGGACTTGCACTCCAAAGTCCAACTTGCAAATATCCCCTGGCAGACAGCACAACCCCACCACCCCCTTCATCCCGCGACTTGCACATTATGTCTAAAACCAGGTAAATCTTGGTCTGCGCCTCCTTTAGCGGGGATTACTAGCGATTCCACCTTCACATGCACAACTTTCAATTCACGTTCCAAACAGCTCTCTCCTTCCCAAGCGGCAGAGCATCTCCAACCTCTACACTCTGAATCTGCCCTCTTCTCCTTGCTCGTTTCGGCCCAAGACATCCAAAGCAAGCGCGAAAACATACATCTAACCCTCAAACCATCTCAAACAAAGCCCCCCTCCCCTGTCCTCCCTTCTCTCTTTCCCACCCTGTCCAAGAATGCGATCTTCTCCTGGATTCGGGGTATAATGGGCTGCACATTCGTTGAGGGAGCAGCCCGTAGGGAATCCCTTGCCCCTCTCAATGCCCTTCGCCCCTATAAGGGCTTCCGTCTTTGCCTCAAGCTTCTGACACAAGTACGTCAGAGACACCCCTGGTTGCAGCAAACTCTGGGCATACCGACGCACCTGCACGTGGTATCAACACACACGCGCATGCAAGACTGAGTCTCCATCGCATGCCGATTTCGATTCAAGACTGTGTTTCCATTGCATGCCGATTTCGATCCAAGACTGTGTTTCCATTGCATGCCGATTTCGATCCAAGACTGTGTTTCCATTGCATGCCGATTTCGATCCAAGACTGTTTTTCCATTGCATGCTAATTTCGATTCAAGACTGTGTTTCCATTGCATGCCGATTTCGATAGGACAGACACCAAGCGAGAACCGCGGAGAAAGAAACAACACACGCCTCCTGCCCTCTGTGTTTGCCCCTTTGTCGCATGCATAGAGCCACGCCACGAGCACTTACTTGTCTGTGGCATTCGGCTGCTTCCCGCAAAGCCTCAATATCCACGGCAGCGAATCGCTCTGCCTCGCGCGCCTCTGCAGTGCCGGGGGACGAGCAGTACATTTGAATCTCCCCTGAAGAGACACCGAAATATATATATATATCCATGGCAAGGTCGTGTGAAGTGACTGACAGGCTGCACAGCTCACCACCGTTCCTACGCGCGAAAAAACCAATGCCGAACATGGTCCCACCTTTTGGAAAGTTCCCACTTGGGAAAAGCTCTTGCATTGTCTTGGTGGGGGGTGTAGTCTGCATGGAAGGCTTCTCCTCTGGCCAGTTGCCTAGGCGTCTAAGAGCCGAGTTGTCTTGCGTTGCAACAAACCCTAAAGCCCTAGCTGTGCCCCCCCCTCCTCCCCCGACGGCGTTCGTAGCGCTCTTCTTCTTCTTCTTTTTCTTCTTCTGCTTGCCTGCGGCTGTTGCTGCTCCTTCTTCTCCTCCTGGCGCAGTTTCCGCGCCGTCCCCAGCTGCAGCCGCCGTCTCATCATCGGACTCCTCTGGCTCGCTTTTACAAGCCATCTGCAGACACAGCACACACACACCCTTCACAATTCCCCAGTCTAAAGCCTGCTAGGCAGCCCGACTCCGCGCGAAAAAAGGGGAAAACCGTGGGAGTTGTGCAGATAACGGGGGGGCAGTGTTGTACTCCGCATACACCATGGGAAGGGCAGTCGAACACAGACCTCTTGGGGTTCCTCCTTCACGTCGAGGCGCTTGACCTCCTGCACCAAACTCCCCGGCATCCTGCCACGCTTCAGGAGAAGGTGTGGGAGTCGGGGATGCACTGTGGGAAAGCGGCGATTCTTAGAGAGCGACCACGCGGAACTGCAACAGCAGCAACACCAACACCAGCGACAGCAGCAGGAGGGCGCAGTGTCAGCTCCCACTGAAAAGCTGTCTGTGCGTGCAAATCAGTTAGTTATTATTGATTTCCTGGAAATAACCGAAAGATCCAAACGGATGTGCGACTCCTGCAGCCACTTCCTGCTCTCTCTCTCCCTGTCCAAAGTTGATCGATGCTTGAAAGCCCCACAGCAGCCGCCGCATTTGCACCAGCCCAAAGGAGAAGGCTTCTAGGTGCTGCTTAGGAGAGATTACGCTGTATTTCGCTGCCTTTTCTGATCCTTGGCCTGCGTGTTGGAATATCCTGTCTTCGCGTTTCCAGCAGCTAGTCTGCAGTAACGGCGGCGCCAACGGCCATCACCGTAGGCGGAGCCACCAACCAGTGGCAAAAGGAGCACCAACAGCAGCATTGAGGCTGCATGCACAACACTCAATCGCGGTTTAGAGGCTGCAGATGTGCACACCTTCGCCGCTGCCCGCGGCTGGTGGCTCTCCCCTGTAAAGGACGCTTCCATATTCCCTGAGAGTGCAAGGGAGGCTTTACCTGCTCATCAGACACAGTGGCAGCCTCAGCACGGGCCAGAGGAAACGTGTCCAAACGAGCCTGACCAACAGTAACAAAGCCGTAGGCGCCGGCAAGCAACACCCCTAGTTGCAACTGTAGAAGCGGAAGCGCAACAAGCGAGCGCTCGTCGTCGCATGCAGCAGTCCTGCTGCTGCTCCTAAAGATTCTAAGGAAAGCTCAACTGCCTGGTAGTCGGCGTCTCGGGGAGCAGCTGCCGAGGCAGCGCTGCGAGCAGCCTCCGGAGGCAGCCTTCGGTGTACAGTCAGCATCAATTGATCAAGCTCCTCCTCAGGCGTGGAGTATGAACGGAGGCCAGTGAGAGGGGCTGATATGGTAGAAGTATCACGTTCTCTGCCACCCACCCACACACACAGAAACACCCAAGTCCGCTGCACAGGAAGAACGGCAAAAGCAAGGGGAACTCCCCTTTTCATGCTACATGGATTGCGGTCCATCACACAGGCTGCAGCATCCGCAGCAGGGGAATGAGCTCAGTGTATCCCTTGGCTCCTGCTTCTGCCCGCGGCTGCAGTAACAGCAGCAGCAGCAAGGCAGGGGCACCATCAGCCGCTGGAAATGATGAGGAGCCGCTAGTTGTTGTTCGGTAAGCAGGCCTTGTACAGACACTTTGGGAGGGGATGTGGCTCCTGACGTAGTTTGGAGGGGAGGTCAGGGTGTTGCACGCTGTCGTTTTTTCGTCTTTCATGCCCTTCCCGCTTCCCCTAAAACGAGCAAAGCGGAGTTTAAATGTTCTCTCTCCGTGCAAAACGTGGCGGCGTGGAAGCCAGCGCTTTAAATTCAAGATTTTTTCCATCCACCACAACTTGCTGTGAAACGGATGCCGCGTGTTCTTAGGCGAGATTTTCACTCCGCAGAGGCCAGACGTCGCTCGCGCCCTCCCTCATTCTTTGGTCAGAGGAATTTGGGCGAGTTTGGATCATTCGTATACCTTGTAAATCAGATTTTCGGAGCAAGTAAGTCTAGCGACGCAGCAGTCGCACGCATGCGCTGTCTGGCTGTTTGTCTGACCCCCTCTCTCGCTGGGAAGACACGCGAAACAGTTTGGGCTGTACGCATGGCAACTCTAAAGTTTCGCGCTATTCTCGTCTTCGCTCGCTGCAGGCCTTGTGGCTGTCCCCTTGGTTTTCAAGAGCGCCGGCTTGCTGCCAGCTACAGCAGCAAATATATTCGTCTGCTGCAGCAGCGCTATTGCCTCTCTCATGCTGCTAAGATGCATGCAGCTAGTCCACGTAGGTCCCTAGTCGCAAGCCCCAAGGCTTCGCCGCTCACCCCATAAATACGCGAATACACATATATATATATATATCTTCATATACATATATATATACATGTATATACACATTCATATACATATATATATACATATATATACACATTCATATACATATATATATACATATATATACACATTCATATACATATATATATACATATATATACACATTCATATATGTACACATTCATGTATATATACACACACACATGCATACATATACACATTCATATATATATATACATATTGATAGATAGATGCACACACATGTTTTCTTCTGTGCCCTCAACACTCTGAAGCCCCCTTCCTCCCCCCTCCGGTGCTGCAAGCAGCTCAGAGACGCTTGACACCCCCCTCAACATACACACGCCAAGAGTGAAATGTTGGTAGACGAGGCAGACCCTGTCGTGGCAAGCGAGGCGCATGAATGCTTGCAGCAGGTCTTTAAGGGCTTTTGCGCTACAGGGAAACAGCTGCTTTCAAAAACGAATTGAATACGCGGCATGTGTATCGTATTTCCTGGGAAAGCACAAGGCTGGCCTTGTCCAGGTACACCCTTAAACTCTCTAGTGGACATCCTATCGCATGCACAGCGGCATATGTGTTCATAAAATAATGAGACTGCCACCTTCATACACGCCTTAAACGTCACGAGCAGCCCCCCAAATCACGCGAGTTCTTGAGGGACAACTCAGAAAAAAATGAACAGGAAATAAAGGTAAAGCTATCTGTATACATCTCGTCTTTTTATCCGTGTGTTCTTGTGTGTGTATGTGTGTGTGTGCCTTCAGTTGTGTCTGTACATCGCTATGCAGGGAATGTGTGCAATTTCAATTGTCGTAGTTAGCCAAGCTTCCGACCAGCTGTTGCTCTTCACATTTGGAAAAACTGCTGGTATAATTTCCTAATCGTTTAGAGGCATCTTTGGGTTCTTCTGCGAGAGAGAGAGAGAGGCTGTTTGTGTGTGTCCGTGTGTTTGTGACATTTGTTTGAGGCGCGTTGTGGTTTTTTGGGGCATAGGATGTATGTGTTTTTGTATGTGTATTTGTGTGTATGTGTATGTGCGTATGTGTGTGTGTATGTGTATTTGTGTGTATGTGTATGTGCGTATGTGTGTGTGTATGTGTATTTGTGTGTATGTGTATGTATTTGTGTATGTGTATTTGTGTGTAGGCTTTGAAGTGTATCCTCAGTTCCGTATACGATTTTATGACGTGGCCGAATATGCGGCATTTTCTGGATTGTCTCTTCCGTGGTGTGGCACCGGCGGGGGCCCTGTCGAGACAGCAGCAGAAGTCTTAGCGTCTGCAGAGATCAGCATAACTTGTGGATATTTGCTGTGTGCTGCCTGCTGCATTCCTCTGTCGAGCAGCAGCATGGAAGAGAATATGACGATCCAATATGCATCTTTTTTCTTCCTCATGCTGTCGATTGCCGTGATGACAGCGGCAGCTGGTTACAGGATCATCGCCTATGCGGCAGACGCCCCTGCTGCTGCTGCCACTGCTGCTGCTGCTGCTGCTGCTGCTGCTGCACCTCCTTTAGAAGACAGTGTTGGGTGGATGCAGCAGGCCGTTAAATTGACAGCTTCTGCAGCTCCTGGAATTCTCCCGCACGGCCTCGCTGCCGGTGCAGCAGTCTCAGCGATTGCGTCGACTCTGCCAAGTGCGCTGTACAGACACCCCTCTGCAGAAGCAGCAGAGGCAGCAGCAGCAGAGGCAGCAGCAGCAGAGGCAGCAGCAGCAGAGGCATCGAGCACAGCTGCCTCTTTTGCCAAGCCATGGGATGATGTTGTGGAGTCTCTCGTATACCAAGACACCAAGGCGTTTCTGTCGCAACAAGAGATGGTGTCAAGCGTTCCAAACAACAGCCAGGCAGGCGTGCTGCACCCGCTTTTACGGAAGGGTGGCTTTGCAGCAAGTCGTAGCAAAAGCAGTACGCGAGAGAGCAGCCGCGCCAACGGCAGTAGCAGCGTCGGGAGCGAGGGGAACGAGCATGGCATGCGCAGCAAGCACGACAGCGAAGGCAGCCAGAGGAAGCTGCTTCCTCGTGACACAGATAAAGAAGACGCGTCAATGGAGAACCATTCGAGAACCAACAGCTCACAGGAGACGGGCAGAGAGGAGTATCAAGAAGGCCTGCAATCAGCGCCTCCTTCTTTGCCCTCCTTGTGGGGAACACAAAATCTTGTGCAGGTCCTCTCCACCTTCATCGCTAGCTACTCCTATGTGACTGTTATTCCTTGCTGGGCAAACGAAATGAAGCTCGATGTGCAGGTTCGAACAAACTGCGACTTCACACCCCGCAGGCATCCTAAGGCTTCATACCCATCCAGCACACTGTTTCGCGATTTCGCTGCTTTGCCCACCCCTTTCCCCCCTCCAAGCAACCCGTAATGTGCAGACAGCGGAGCATATCTTGTGCTCAGAGTATCTTTTTCAAGTCTTGGCCATGCTGCATCTTTCCGATGACGCATTCACGACGGAGGAGCTAAGCTTCAGGGGCTGGGGTGTTGTGGAAGGTGCTTCTCTCTAGGAGATCTCAAGGCTGGTGTGGACGGCTTTCGCGCAGATTGAAAGGGCTGTATGGACAAGCACAACCTTCTGTGGCGTTACCTACTTCTTATTCGGGCTTGTTCTAGCCGCCGCATACCCCGCTGTAGCGTCGGATAATATTCTGCAGGTGAGTAGCTTTTTCCAGGCTTTTCTAAGAGCTAAAGACCACGCTGCAGCAGACGCAAAAAGCCACACTGCAGTTGTTTGTGCAAGCGCGGATGCGCGGTATGCGACACAATACATACAAAGAGATAGCGAGAGAGAGCAAGAGAGGAAGGTTCTTAAGATGTGCTTTTGTCTCAGTAAAAGATTTGAGCCGTGAAGGTACAGTGGATTGTGTGTGTGTGTGTATGTGTGCCCCGGTGTGGTCGGGGGACCCCTCTTTGCACTCAGGAGATGCTTCTTTCAAGCGACACTCCCCTCTTCGCTCAGATAGCGATTTTCGCCTTTGATCTCTTCACCATCCTTCCTGGTAAGCCTGGGTTTTCTGAGACTTGCATGCATGTGTCTGTATGTGTGTATGTGTTTGTATCTGTGTGTTTGTTCGTGTTTGTGTGTGTGTATGTGTTTGTGTGCATATGCGTGTGTTTGTATGTGTATGTATGTGTGTGTTCGTGTGTTTGTATGTGTTTGTGTGTTTGTTTGTGTTTGTGTGTTTGTTTGTGTGTATGTTTTTGTGTGTGTATGTGTTTGTATGTGTGTGTTTGTTTGTTTGTGTCTGTTTGTGTTTGCATGTGTGTGTTTGTTTGTTTGTGTCTGTGTCTGTTTGTGTTTGTTTGTGTGTATGTTTTTGTGTGTGTATGTGTGTGTTTGTGTGTTTGTGTTTGTGTTTGTGTGTTTGTGTTCGTATGTGTGTGTTTGTATGTTTGTGTTTGTTCGTGTTTGTGTGTGTGTTTGTTTGTGTTTGTGTGTGTGTTTGTGTCTGTATGTTTGTGTCTGTATATTTGTGTATGTTTGTGTTTGTTTGTTTGTGTTTGTGTTTGTTTGCGCGTTGAGAGCTGCCGCCTCGTCATCATAGGCGGCAGGGCATGCATGGTGGGGTTCAACCCAAGAATGATGAGTCCCCCAGTTGAAGGAAAGTCTGTGGTTCTTGTCTTCCTGTGCATGCAACGTAGGAATTTTGGTGTACTGCATTGCAACGCGGTACAATTTAGTGAACAGCGGAGTTTGTGGGAAGCGTCAGGCCTTCTGGATTGGAGCTGTTGCGCCATTTCTTTCGTCGTGGACTCTAATGAATGCGCAGTCCACCGCAGGTAGGGAGCGCAACTTGCCCCCCTCCCGCCCCCCCTCTATGAGATGTTTCGAAGAATGCGGCGTCGCACAGCACTTGACACGTCCTCCTCTAGAGCGCAGCATGTGTGTGGAGTCGTTTTTTGGCCACGCACTTCCGTAGTTCTGGCGCTTCCTTGAAATACGCATGTCAAGGGGTTGGCTGGTTCTTGCGGGGTGTCGCTTCGAAGATAAGTTCGTTCTTGAGGTGCTTTTCATTGACGAGAAGCGGCGTCTTTCACTGCTGCCATCACGCAGGTGTTCTAACATGGACTTCCTTATTCTTCTCGTTGGTTTGCAATTTTGTCGCGCCGTTTGCCATTTATCTGCGAGCGTGTCAGAAGCTCCCATGCGAGGATCCCGGTAGGCTTAAAATTTTGTTTTCCAGCATTTTCGCTTTTTTTCACGCAGCTGAGCCTCACGCTCTGTAGGCGTTGACGTAAGAGGCAGGAGTCGCTAGGGGCTTTAGAAGAATTAGTGCCCAGTGGTCACGAAGCACAAGAAGCTAGGACTGCATAGGGGTCGCATGAATATATAAATGTGAACATATATGCATATAGGGCTGCAGGCGAGAAGGAGGGGGTGATGGTGCTGCTGCTGCTGCTGTTTGAATGCATGCAGCTGCAGCAGGGGAGAAGCAAGTGGTTATCTTCAGCCCGAATATCCGGCATAACGTGCAAGGAGTAAGGCCGGCTTTGGCAGTGCGATGTTGTTTTTGCAAAGTGGCTTTTTCGAAGGAGTTGCGCTGCTCAAGGGAGGCTGGCGCTCGACTACAGGGGTGTGTTTTGCGTAAGATTAACGTTTGCGCATGTCTGACGGTGCATGCGGTCAGGAATTGCGAGACCCCGACGCAGTCCGGCTGTCTCTACTGCAGTGGCTGCAAGCCAAGTTTAAGGACGAAAGTGTTGCACGGGAGGCTGATCCGCAGTTGCTGCATTTGTTGCTGCAACCCTCGGCGGCAGCAGCTGCGGAGCACCACACGTACAGCACGCCTGCAAGCGAGCAGCGGCAGAAACTTACGCAGCAGGAAGCAGCGACAACGGCCATCGCTGCGGCTGCCTTGCAGCTCCAGGAGCCAGGCCTTAGCAAAAGTGGGGTTGTTGTTGTTATTGCTCTGGTGCAGTAAAAATGTCTCGCAGCCGCTGGTTCTGTTCCCGAGCATGCCGCTTTTGGAGGGGTGGATGCTTGCTTTTTGTTGCTTGCTTACGCTCCGGGAAATGAGTGCGCGTGGAAAAGGAGGCACAACTGCATGTGCATGTGTTTTGTCTCGTGGTATGTCTGTTTGTCTGTCTGTCTCGTGGTATGTCTGTTTCTTCCGGCTCTGTGGTGGTGTTTCAGCCTTCAGTCGAATACTCGGAAGAAAGCAGTCGTACCATGCGGACTCCACACTGCACACTCCGGAGCAACAGACACTCTTGGCAGCCGAGTTGGGAGCCGCAGCAGCAGCTGGCGATGTATCCGCTGGTAGTTCTTTGCAGCACCGCCTTCTGCATAGTGACAGCCTAGGCCTGCTGCGTAGCGGCTCGGCTGCAGGGGACTTTTTTCCGTCGGCTTGTTTCCCCTCGCCTCCCTTGTCTCCGCTGCAACACTTTCAGCACTGGAAACAGCAGCAGCCAGAGCATCTGCGCGAGCCCTCTCATGAGCCGCCGCTTTGGCGCATTGTAGAACCTGAGAAAAGCGACGAAGACACCGTCAACGAGTCCGAAGTTGCCGATCTTACCACAGATTTAGACGATGTTGCCGCTTCGCTCGCAGTCCAGAAACATTTGCCAGATTTGCTGCTGCGGCAAGCGGATAAGATTGATCGAAATGTCTGGCTCGCGGATCTCCCCTCCCTTCTCAGCACTTCGCCTCCCCCAGAATCGCGGCGTCTGCGCCATCCCAAGCCTATGACAGGCCCCCTTGAGCGGGGAGAAGAACATGCAGCAGCCAACGGCGCTGAGTTTCCGCTGAGGGGGGATCCTCTCAGCGTCGAAGCGAGAAGTTTGCGTTCTTCGACGGCCGAGGAAATCAGCAGAGCGCATCCTTTTTATAAGTCGGTTGAAGGCGTGCACGTGAGAGACGTGTCTGCAAGCAACGCCGCCGATGATGGCGGCGAGGATGGCACCTTGACTAAGGACCTTCTTCAGCGCAGCAGCAGTAGTAGTAGCAGTAGTAGCAGTAGTAGCGGCATGCTCCGCAGCGGGAGTATTCCCTTTGACAGTTTCTGGATGCATTCTAATACATATCCCCGCAGCAGCAGCAGCAGCAGTTCGCAGTTCTTCCCCCGACTGTCTGCGCCTGCCGGGGGATCTGTGGGGCCTTCTCTTGGTGGGCACCTCCACAAAGGGAGAAAACTGCTGGAAGTCGATTCGAGTGAACTGTCTCTTGGGCTAGGCAGGAGAGGCACCGACTTAGTCCGACGGATGCGCAGCAACAGCAGTTTGAATGCAGATGCAACCTCTGCAGAGAGAGGAGCCGCTGCTGCTGTGGACGAAGTCGAAGCAGCCACGCTGCTGCTGCGGCAGATCAAAGAGGCACAGCATGTCGGAAATGACGTGCAGGTGTATCTGCTGCTGCAGCAAGCAGCGAAAGCAGCTGCTGCTGCCACCAGAAGCAGCAAAGGCCTCAGACAGCCCCTGGAGAGAGGAAATTCATGGAGTTATCTCGTGAGTTTTTTTGAACGCTTGCCCCTCGATTCAATTCTTCCCCCTTTCTTAGCACTTTCATTTCAAGGCTCCCGATGGTTGCGGGGAACGTGTTTTGTGATGCAGCACCTGCCGGAAGGGCTGCTGCCTCGCTTACGACATTCCGAGACGCTGAGAAACATCGGCAGCTTCATGCTGCATCCGCTTAGCCGGCTTTCCACTTGTGAGCCTCGTCATATTATGGGGCAAAGCGCGACATTTCCCAAGGGGCTTGGGGTACTAAGGCATGCCTTCCGCATACATATATATATATATAAAGTGTATATATACCCACTGCCTCTCTTCTTCCTCTTTCGCTCTCCCGTTTTCCCCCTCTCTTTCCCCTCATTGTCTCTGTCTGTCTGTCTGTCTCTCTCTCTCTTTCTCTCTCCCTCTTATCCGTCCTTCTCTTCCTCTCTCTTTCTTCTCTCTCTTTCTTCTCTCTCTTTCTTCTCTCTCTCTTTCTTCTCTCTCTTTCTTCTCTCTCTTTCTTCTCTCTCTCTTTCTTCTCTCTCTCTTTCTTCTCTCTCTCTTTCTTCTCTCTCTTTCTTCTCTCTCTTTCTTCTCTCTCTTTCTTCTCTCTCTTTCTTCTCTCTCTCTCTCAACCCATGCATGCGGAAGCTCGACAGCCCTATTCCCACACGGCAGAGACAATGAAGACGTAGGGCCTCGTTGTTGTTGTTGCTGCAGCGCCTGCCGGAATCGAGACGACTACAAGTCCTTCATGGGGTGTACTGCCGAGTTTCGCTCACCAGCAGGCGCAAGAGCAGCAGCGAGCACGGCGACACAGCTGCTTTGAAAAAGCCCAATCATCGCCGAAGGTAGAAGACTTGCGAGCGAGTAGTACTCCGGCCGAGAAGCTGGCGCACAGCACTTGTCTGAGCAACCCCTGCAATGGAGTCTTGAGTCCTTCCGCTGTCTCAGAGAGCGGCACGCCCAACGCCTCCCCCGTCATTCATTTTCAGGAGATACAAGAAGATGCCGAGCAGCAGCAGGAGACAGCAGAAGAACACCTGCTGCCAGTCTTGGGTTCGAGGACTGGTTGGAAGGAGGCCGCCCCTACTGCCCGCCAGTCAGAAGAAAGAAGTGCTGCTCATCGCGTTCCCGACTCGCCAACAACCATTACAAAAGCAGCAGAACTGCTGCTCTCGCACACGCGTGCGCCTGCCGCTCCAGGCCAAGTGGCGTGGAACGAGCTGAGTAGAGCCGCCGTGTCTGCATCTTCCTCACCCCCAGCAACTCCTGTCGCTGCAGAGCAGAAGCTGCCGCAGCACCGCTTCAAGAAGCCCCCCTCTCTTTCTCCTTTCTCTCCCCGCAACAGCAGCAGCAGTGTCACGGATCCGCAGCAGAGGCAGCGCCATCAGAATGGCCGCCTTGCTCATGGAAGACGCAAGCTCAAGACAGCCGCATACCTCCCGAAGAAAGGCCAACCAGGAGCATCCTGCCCCCCAGCTGCGCCAGCACCAGCGGCAGCATCACCCGAGCCAGGAGATTCGGCAGAAGCCGCATTCGCGTACAGAGACATTGACCACGGAGACTCTCACCCGATGGAAGCCCTCCCCACTATCCAGGTAGGTAGGAACTGCCCTTCCAGAGAGGAGGGTTGGCTAGCCGCGTATACCACCCGCTCACAAAAACGCTAGCTGCAACGCACACCCAAAGGGGCTAGCCGGGCCGTCCTCGTGGCTAGCCACACTTGCTAGCAAGAAGTACAGCACGCGAAACAGACACCGCACCCGTAAAGAGGCTCATTGGGCCCCATGTGGTGGACTGCGGCAGACAGAGAGGAGGAACAGAGAAGAGGGAACGAGACGCGATGGGCATGTGCAGATACATATGTATATATGTATATATATATATATCGTGCAGTCTAGAAGCTCGCTCTCTAGGTATGCATTTCGGCAGCAGAGACGAGCTGCCTTACTGTGAGAACTACTGACCTCCTCATGCATGTGCTTCAATTATCGCCTGCCTACTTCTGCTGCAGGTGACGTATGCTGAGCCATCGCCAGTGGAGGAGGAGTTCCCAGGAGGGGCGCCTCGCCTGCCACAGGTTCAGGTGTTTCGAAATCCGTGGCTCAGAAAACACCACATCGAGTTCTCTAGGGCTCTACTCGTGGCCCTCGTCGCTTTTGCTGCTGCTTCTGTTGTCATGCAGATTCTGTGAGCAGCCGTAAATCGCTGCTGTACGCCCTAAGTCTATGCTGCTGCGCAACAGGCGTTAGCGGTAGTACAACAAGCCATAGTACCCGCAATTCCTGCGTAGGAGTTGCTCGCGACGTGTTCTGGTTCTGGTGTTTCTATTTGGGGCCTTATGAAGGCATCCCCTGGTGGCCATGCTTTGTTTGGACTTCCCGTGACATGGCAGGCCGAGCAGCAGACGGGGGTAGTTTAGGAGGCAGGGGGACGCAGAGGAAGAGGTAGGGGGGAATGGAAAGGGGTGTCAGGTTCGTAGGGGAGGAGAAGTGCAGATACGGAGGGCAGCCCGAGGAGGTGAGGAACGTAGGAGAGAAACAGGAAGAGTGGGCAAGAGGCAGGAGGGCCTGGGGAGTCCATGCGACTTCGCCATATAACTGGGAAGGGAGGGGAAGGGAAGCAGCGGCGGCGGCTCTTACGGTAGAGGCACATGCATTAGAGTAGGGCGAATAGGGAGAGCTGAAACTGTAGGGAGAGCGTGTATTTTAGAGGGAACTGGCGGGGAGGGAGGAGAATTGCCCATAGGCTCTAGAGGAACGGGGGCAGGAACCACGCTGAAACAGAGCAAGAACAGGAAGAGACTGATGGAGCCGGCAGGAGAGGAAGCATCAGAAGACTGTGGGTGAATGCCTGGAGAAGATATCGTCATCGCGCTACATTTGGTGCACTGCCCGCCTAACCCTACAGCCAAGCACGAAGTCCAAACCGCCTACGCCAATCCTCTACCTAGCCTTTTCGTGTCGTCAACTTCTTTCGAAAGCCAATTATTGCCTTCGAGTTCTATGTTAGAGACTAAGTGGCCACGGTACAAGGTATGGCATATCGGCTTTGAGGGGGTTCAGGATTTAGACAACCGCCGGTACTTAGCATATTCGAAATCAAGTCGAACATGCTTTACGCGGCGCTTGATTATTCAGCTGAGACTTGCGTTATTGGAGTTGCTCTATGATTTTAGCTTCATTGGAATTTGCCTCTACAATAAGCTCAACAGCGGTATCTTGTAGCTGCTCTGACGGGGGGCCCCGCCGACGCCGGCTGCTGGGGGGTAGCGCATATTGGCAAAGGCCTGTCTTTAAAGGATCCTACGCGCAGTTAGAATTCAGGCTCAGATGATTAGTGACGCAGTAAACAGAGTTTTGGCATGTTGGTTTGCTGTTGACGGCATGAGCCACCGAGGTCACCTGCTGCACTCCGGGGAGCCCATCGGGTTCTTCTTTGAAACTTGCTGCCTTTTAGTCATTCCGTTTGACACAAAGAGACGCACAGTGGCTTGAGGAGAGCATTCAGAGGGGCTAAAGCTTAGGGCGTAGAGCGTAAAGCCTAGAGTGTTAGGTCGATAAGACCATGAAGCAGTTTTCGGCCTGGGATCGACTGCGCGACTGTGCGCCTTATGCAATTTTCCCGAGGCCGTGAGACCAGAGCCATGGACTTGCAAAAGCTGCAAACAGTAAACGCTGCACATATTATCGGGGAATTGATATCGAAGAACAGGCTTATTTCCCCTGACGCTTTGGATATCGGGTGTTTCGGCGCATGAATGATGGTCTGTCCAGATCCCAATACGACACGTTAGTGGCTCCGCTTTATGGATTGCAACGCGGCAATCTCTGAAAATGGCCAATCCGTCCTGCGAACTCTGGGTCTGGGTAAGCTGGATGGCCTTGTTGCTACGTGCTGTGAACTTTGTAGTAGGAGGCAGCTCGCGTATCCCGCGCGCTGCATTTGCCTAATGATTTCAGAGTTGGCGAGCTAGGGCTCATGATAAGAGGTGCACTGTTTAAGGCACACATTATGCGCAACATCACGGCATCCAAACTTGGTCGGTGCTTCTTCCTGCTCAGATTCGGCAGCCACCTGCGCAGGCACGACAACCTCCTGTAAGTCTCTGTGGAGGTTCCAAGGCCGAAAGACGACAAGTCGCACAAGCTGTCGCCTCTGTCATTCTTCTGAGGGTTTTCGATGGTGCGCTTCGCACCTTGGATGCCTTGGGAAGCCCCAAGTTCATGGGCCAGCTGGAGACTGAAACAAGCCAGCATGGCCCGCACGTTACAGCAGTGAAACCGCCACAGCAGCACATGGGGAGCTCAAGAGATCACCCTGGCGAAACAACAGCACAGCAGTCCTCCTTTAGCTCAGCAGAGTCAATATCACGGATGACTGGGGGGAAACCAACAGCGGCAATCTCCCATTCAACCACAGCGACGGCCGAAACAACCAGTGCAGGACACCCACCCGCAGGCACCACAGCAGGCACTCAACAACAACACGTCGGCCCTTTAGGGGCCCCTAAACACCCCAGTCATCCAGGGGCGCTGCAAAGGGCCTTGCAGACCACATTTGCCGAACGTGTGAAATCATTCTTCCGACAACAGCAACACTCCAGGGTGCTGCATTTCCTAGATGGAGGGCCTACCGCTTTCGGAGGAATCGCTGCCTCGGGGAGCGTCCGCAGGCGTGAGGGAGGAGCGACTGTCATGCCAAAAAAGATGCAACAACAGTTCCGGCCACGGCACGAACTGCATCAGCAACCGCAAGAACAACAGCAACTACAAACGCCTGGCGCTGCTGCGTCTTCCAGAACTCAGCATTCAGCACGGGGGGCAGATCCTGCTGCCCGTGCATTTCATGCCCCGCACTTTGCCCCTCAGTCAGCAGATCTTATAACCGCTCAGTGGCTGCCGCTGCTCATTTCTCATGCAGCAGCGGCAGCGAGAGCAGCAGCAGACTACAACCGCAGGACGGAGCACCCCGTTGAGGCCCTTGATGATCAGTGTGCTGCAGCTGCAAAAGCAGCCGCTGCTGCGTCAGATCGCGTTGTATCTCTCTTTTTTACAGGAGTCTCGAGTCTCTGCTTCGTCGTCGAGACAGCCAAACCCCTGGCAGTATCCTCACCAGCAGCAGCTGCACTAGAAGCACCAGCAGGAAAAGCACACGAGGCTTGGGAGCAGCAAACACAGCGCAGGTTGCATCTTACTTTCTCGGTAGATAAACTTTTTTGCCAGCGTAAGCTGCTGCTCTACCTGTTCCGACGACGTATTTGCGTTCCCAGCACTCAGACTTTTAATTTTTCTCATTTGCGTGCTGCTTTTCCTTTTGATGTAATGAAAAACGTTGTGTGGCTGTGTGCTATAGCGTTCTGCCTGTCTCTGTCGGTGAAACTCCCCTCCGTGCACTTGCTGCGCGTGTAAAAAGACACCATCTCAAGTGCACATGCATGTTGCTGCATGTGCTGCTCTAATTCCGTGTAGCCGGATGCCTTCCATTGATGTCTGCCGTCACCCCCGAAGAAAAGGAACCGTTTGCCTCCTCCGAAGGCTTCTTACGCCGGCTAGTTTTGCAGCTGGTTCCCCAGTGGCTGCGCATTGTGTCTGCGCATCCATCACCGCACTTGGAAGCCCCTCCAAAGTCCCCTCGAGAGCAACAGCCAGAGGGGTGGCAGCGGTGTGCCCATCAGCCCCCGCAAAGGCAAGAAAGCAGCAACGACGAGGACGCCCCTAATCTATGCAGCGCAGCCATTGGCAAGAACAAGGGCAGCCACAACGAGGACGGCAAAAGCAGCACGCCTTCTCAGCTGCCTGTAGCGTCTGCGCTGCATGCGGCCCTGCAGTCTCACGTGAAGAAGGCTTCAGGGTCTCTTTGTGTCGTGGAATTTATGTCTGCTGCTGCGCTGACGGAAGGAACACTCCTCGACGGGGGCGGAGGTGTGCTCCAACAGCAGTAATCCTCCTGCTGCTGCTGCTGTTGTTGGCGTGCTTAGCTTTGGGAAAGCCGGCATGATGGCGTCGTCCGCCGATGTCAGCAGGAGTCTAACACTTCTAGCGCTTGCTGATGCAGGCTTGCCCTCTCTTCGTATCAATTGGGTCCGCATGTCTTCTATAGCATCAAACGCAGCACTCGTTGCTATAGCAAGCCTGTGTCTGCTGATGTGCCTCAGAGGAAGCACCTGCGCATGCCGCCCTGCTGGCTTGCCTCGCCGAAATCCTGCCCCCCAAGTCGAAAGCCCTCTCCTGTCGCAGTGGCATCCGCAAAAGCACGGACTGGAAAATCAGCAGTGGCGATAAAAGCAACAGTGGCGTCGGCAAAGATAGCAACGTTAGCTCTGAGGAAGCGGTGCGCGGTCTAGCAGCTAAAGACGTAGAGGTACCTCCCAAAGGCCTCGAGAGCCCTAGGAACCATGAGGAAGGACAGGAGCTTCCGCGAGCAACCCCCAGTGGCTTGAAGGCTTTGGAGGAGGACTACCACCTTCTAGGAGTCTCGATCGGCAGTTTAAAGATCTACAACAAGAAAATCAGGTGTCCTCAGACCCTACACCTTGCGCACTGGAACTAAGCACTTGAGTATCTCCTATTCCGCATGTTACTGCGCGTTCTGAGTGCGTCTAGGACGCATGCTTGAGCTTCGAAATCTGGAATTTTCGTGTGGGTGTTTTCCAGGAACCTCCTCGCCCTTCCAACGATGTGGCAACAACAAAACCAACAAGCCCACGAACAAGCTTTGCTTCACCAGCAGCAGCAAAATACTGACACTGTGGCAGCGTCTCCAGCACCCAGAAACGCTTCTTCCGATGCCCTGGGAGCTCTTTATGAGGATTCAGTCTCGAGGGAGGAAGAGACTGCTCTCGAGGGATGCGCTGCGGAGGCTTGCAGCCTCATATCTGAGGGGCCGAGTTTTAGCAGCCTACCTTGGGAAAGCGCATACCACGAACCCCGAGGTTGCTGCCAGTGCTGTTTTGCCGTCTTTCGATGCTTTTCACGCAAAACTCCCTGCAACGCGAAGGCGTGCTGCCGCCTTCGCAGTGCTGCCGCTGCCCTGAACAGTTTCGCTGCTGTGGGAGTAACCGAGCACGACAACAATATGCAGCTGCTAATGCATCCAACTCTTGGCTTACTGCTGCCGCATGACATGGCAAGCTTGGCCTTTCCACTGCTTTCCTGCTCTTGGTGCCGCAATTGGTGCTCCCGCTGTAGCGGTTTGTGCCCTGACGGCCTTCCATTACCTGCGTTGATCCGGTGGTTTTCTCTGGAGGTACTCCTGCATTTGCAAGCGCTGCTAAGACCTCTAATGCCTCGATGCTGAGAGAGACTTCAGCACTTTGTTGGGCTGCGCTCCAGGTCAAGGTGGCGTCACTCGAAGAGGCACGCTCGCTGCTGGACTACCTTAGCTACTTACGGGGTGTTGAGGGGTCAGGAGGCCCCCTTGGATCCCCCGGAATGCATGAAGGGGCGCACTATGTATATTTTCTGCGCATCGCCCGTGTAAGTCCTGACTGCTCGCTGAAGGCATTGCACCGTTGGCAAGATCTCCCCAGTGCATAGCAAGGAAAGCATCAGGCAGCAGCACCGTGCTGGGTGGGCTTCTGCTTTCTCTGCAGCTGCTGAGCAACGGCGCTGTTGCTTATAACGACATCTACTACTGCCTTTTGGCCCCCCCCACAGCGCTGCACATGCCTTTACTCCCGAGCGCCATGCAGCGGGAAAGAGACTCCCAGGAGGGTGGTTACCCCACAGGAGACACCGCACCGTTTTGCGCGTCCTGGCTCGACGTACGGGCTCCCTTGCCCCTTCAGCTTGCACAGCCCCCACAAAGCCTCACACTACGACGCTAGAATCCTGAATCTTGGAAGCATTTGCGTTTTGTGCGTTACTTTAGACGCTGCCGTCGATGCAGCTTCCAGGTGCTGCAGGACCAGGGCAAACTGCAGCGAAAACAACTTGCGGCGGGAGCAAACTCGGATGGCTTCTCCGCATGCTTCTCGAGCTCGCCACCCACACCATAGTCCGCATACCCCAAACTCCCAGATTCAAATCCTTGGCCTCAGGTGCCAGCAACGGCAGGTGATGGCTTGGAATTACCGGAAGGATGCACACTGGGCTCTACACAGAGTACCACGAAGTATGCGTGCTACTCCTGCTGATGCGCCGCAGATAGTTACTGGAATCAACTCCCCGGATAGCCTGGAAGATTCTTTCCTTTCGTTGCAGGCTGCAGAGGAGCTCCGTTGTTTTACTCGCAAGTTGTAAGCTCATTCCCTGCCCTCGATCAGTCCCCAAAGAGGCTTTTAGCCGCTGCCAGGAAAGCTGCCTCATCCTTGGCGGCTCAACGGTCTGTATGATGAGGGATTCGGAAGAAAAACGAGGTCTCTGCTGTGTCTAGGTGTGCGTTTCTCTAAGGACTGAGCAGCCTTCAACGCACCACCGGAGCGTTGCTCAAGCAGTAGGTCTTCTTGTCACCGAGGCCTTCATACAGCAACGAATCCAGAGCAAAGAGCAACAAGATGCATTGCACGTGAGTTCGGTTTGCTCACGGGGCGCTAAAGTGCAAGCGGCAGGCACGTGGGCTCTAGGCCAATACAGAGAAATAACTCCAAAGGCTCAGCGTGTAGAGGCTTGATTGCCGCGCAGTCGCTATTTCTTAGAGCCTCAAGTTTAGGGTTTGTGTTTACGGGGGCATGCGGTGCCTTCCCTCATGATAAAATCCCTTTAAACCGCAGATTTTCAAGCTCAAGATTATATTATTTGGCTTAAGGCCTACGTATTACTTGCAGCCGGAGGCCTTGCAGAGACTGCGGGCGGCCTCTGCCATGGCCTCCCCACTGTCCATCTCCTCGTTGCTCTTGCTGACCAGAAGCTGTTCTGGAGGCAACCCCTCATGTTCTCGGCTGTCTAAAAGCCCCTTGGCAACGCCCCCACAGAGGAACTCTGCAGAGCCAGAAAATACAATGGAACCACTCGAAACTCCCTCTGTAGAGCAGCAAGACCAGAACCACGAAAACAGCTGCAAAGGCATCTTAGAAGGCCTAGCAGCACCCCTCGATGCCGTGAATCAGCTGCTGCAGCTGTCTAGATGCGCTGCTTTCTTGATAGCCCCATCAGCTGCAGGCAGAACAGCGGCTTTGAGACGTTTATTTCAGGCCCTAAAAGGCCTCGACCTTGCGGCGCCTCCAGGGCAGTATTCCTTTGGCGAGAAGCCTGAAGGCAGTAGCCAATCCCGATATGCCTGCAGCAAAGGCAACCTCTGCTGCAGCAATGACACGGTAGCAAGCAGGAGAACTAGCTGTCCTGCAGACGTCTTTGCTGGACCCTCAGGAGGCCGCAAACTGACGTTTCAAAAACCTAACTTCCATCTTGAAGTCATTAGCGGGGTATGCTTCAGTGCTTGCACACACTCGGCACAAAAACCCCCAGGGGGGTACAGAGACTGGTGCAAGCCATGCTAATGCCTGGAGGCTGCGGCAATCATCCTCGAACTCTGTGCAGCGAATCTGGTGTTTTTACGTGTCATCGGTTGCACGCCTGCGCCTCCATTCCTATCATGTGTCGAGAAAGTGGAGACCTGTAAGGTCCTGTTCTGGCTCTTGTTACTGCTACAGCTGGGAAGCCCCTCTATCTTCTATTGCATTCCCACGGCCGTGAAGAGTCTGCGCGTGCCCGTTGGCAGAAGAGGCTCCAGAGATCCCCCTGTCCACTTTGAGGTTTCGCATCAGTCGCACATGTTTGTGGGGGCAGAGAAGGACTTTTGTCAGATAGGGGTTAAAAGCCCAGGCCTCCCCGTCATCTTGCTGTCGCTTCACGCTCACAGACACGGTACCAAGGCGCATCCGCAGCCCTCAGTCACAGCCACTTGCCTCTTTGGTGGTGTCGCAGCACCTGCTGGAGTTGCTGCTGCTGCGGCTGCGGGCGTAGAGAGCGCTGTAACTGCAGCCACAGCAGCAGCAGCAGCAGAGGCAACCTTAGGGCCCCCTCGTTTCGGTGTTTTGGTGGCTTCGCCATTCACACCCGAAGCTGGAGGTCCTCGCAAGGAGCTAAGCGTGAACGCCGAGCAAGCACGAAGGGCGTCTGCAAGATGCGTTCCGCAAGACACGCAGCAGCAGCTGCAGCCGCTGTCGAAGGAGAAGGTTAAAGCGCTAGACGCTCCTGGAAAAAAATGTGCCGAGGCGCTCGAGAATGCCTGTGAAGAACTGGGTGAAAGCAGTCTCTGGGGACCTGAGGGTTGGATGTTGCGTTGTCTACAATGCTGGGAGTCTGTTGACTTGCTGCATGGGGAGGCGCTTGTGTTGCTGCTCCGGCCTCATGTCCTGGTTATCCGTTTGTTCGAGAAAAGCAAAGAAGAAAGAGACATCGCAGCGGCCGCAGCACGAGGGCTCACGCGATCACAGCGTAGAGCGATCATGTATACTTCCCTGATGGTATTGCCTTGGAAAATCGAACCTCCTTCTGTCTGCTTATCCTTTTTCCTGCCTGATCACGCCAGAGTCCTCATCCTCGCATTTTTTATTTCATCTACTCCCACCTGTCCGTTCGTCTACGCACAGCCGGTGCCGAACTCTTTCTGTGGGTGTATGTTACTCTGTGTGGATATGTTCTGCTTGCTCGAATCCCCCTTCACTCCCCGCCGTGAAAACCACCTTATCAATCCCTTTCTATGTGCATACCCCTGCGCCTGCCCTTACAGACTTGCGGGGCCGCATGCAGACGTTCTGCTGGTTGCCTCCTTTTCTGCGTTGTTTCCCGCAGAGGGCCTTTCTCCGTCGATTTCCATTGCACCCACAGCTGCTCCAGGATTTTTTGCGACAGAGCCTGCGCTCTGAGAAAGCCCTAGCCATCCGACTGGCGAGACCCTTCAGCCACCTGTCTCTCTTCCGTCAGTTTGATAGTTTCGCTTTCTGTCTCGCTAGCTGTTGTCACTGACTCCTCTCTTTGCCCACCCACGTGTTTACCCTTCCGCTGTTTCTCCCTCTCTTGTTCTTCCCACCCTTGTTCTCCCTGCCTGTTCGCCCTCACGGCGCTTGTTCTCCGCCTTTTTCTGCAGTTTCCGGTGCTTGTGTCATCCTCCTCTGCCGCAGAGACAGGGCACCCTCTGCAGCGCGAGCAGCTGCTACAGCTTCAAGGCCTTTCTCTGCTCTGTTCCCAGACAGCCGACCTCCTTCAGAGCATTGCGGAGGCAACCAACAAGCACCGGCCGCAAGGCCAGCACCACATAGCCTTTGTACCGACGCTGATCTCGAGGCACCTTTCAAAGGAATGCTCTGAAGACGTAAAAGGGGGCGAACTCTGCCGAGGTCCAAGTGAAGCACTGGTAAGGGAGGCCGAGTGGATGAGGAGTTTTCTACCCCAACTCACCCTGCTGTTTTACCGTGTAGCAGTGCACCTGGGTAAACGAGCCAGCACGAGTAGGAGAATAACAGCCTTCCGTGTTTTCTAAAGGGTCCTGCGAAGGAGCCCTCTCCTTAGGTCGCCTTCCCATTTTCCTTGAAGCGCCACCAGCCTAAGCCTTTTCGACTCCTTTGGGGTTATTCCACCCCTTCCCAGTAGGGTGAAGTCCGACAAAAAGCCATATGCAGTTGCAATCTTCTTTATTACTCTGTCCTACCTTAGGTGGTGCGCGTTACTGTGGGATCTCCTCCGCGCCACCTCACGACATGGAGTATCGAGCAAACCTTGTGAGCTCTTGGCACCATCAAAGCCCTCTTCTAGCTTGAAACTCCGTCACAAAACCTGTTCTGAAGGACATTCACCTTGTGAGAATTATGTCAGACGTAAAGAAGTATCAATTTGGTGCAGTGAACCTGCGTTAGACGGAATTGAATGGCATTGAGGGGATCCGTTTGCGTCGTTTTAACCCGTTCAGATACTTTTCTGAGGCTCTGTACCGTCTAGCTGAGACGCTTTTCGAGTTTCATGATGCAGCTACAGCAGCAGCACACGATAAAAAAGACACCTTGAGCACACAGCAACAGTGCTACGGCTACCGGCATCAGCAAGAAAAGGAACACCAAACCCCCGCACTTTTTGAACATCAGCAGCAAACTGATTTCCACCCTGGGAGTCCGACAACGGTAGTAGGACTCCTGCTGTCATTTCTGGAGTCTCAGAATCAAACCCCACAATATTTAGAGGCATTCATGCAAGTATTTACTGCAGCTTGCAAAGGACACCCTGACACCCAACAAGAGCAGCAAACCCACACTTCTGAGCAGCAGCAACAACAACAAAAGAGTGCGCGAGGATCGCACGATCGGCAACATGCAATGGAGAACTCCCCTATAGAGGAGCGTTCCCCCCAAAAAGAGCTCTCAGAGCACTGCAGCTCTCAATCAGCAGATGCTCAAGTGCCTTTGAGCGACATCCAAGCCACTATCGCTGCGCGGATGCTGCAGTATCTACATGCTGCGACTGTGAGGCCGCGTTGTCTGCCTGTCGGCTAGATGAGCCTTGCTTTCTCGAGGACGCTTTGTAGTAGTTCGGAAGTGGAGCCACTCACGCTGCAGGTAGCGCAATGCCCTTGTCGTCACTGCTGTAGCTGTCTGGCTGCGTTGAGTATTTGCATGCAGACACCTTTATCTCCAGTCAGCTTAGAAGGTCTCCTGGCCTGCGCAGAGGCCCCAGAGTCAGTTGCCCCCCCTCAACTGCGTGAAATCCCTCCTGGCCACCTGCAGGATGCTGCGAAACTCACACCGGAGAGAGGGGCCTCTGATGGAGCGAAATCCTGCATGTCAAGCTCGTCGGCAACACCCACCCGAGGATCGATTGATACACAGTATCCCCCTGAGGGCCTACCCAAGGCTCTAACTGAGCATCAACTGGAGTCCTCCCCTTCCCTACGTGCTGAGCGCAGCGGCAACAGTCATAGCAGTAGGGACGCAGACACTGACTCTGATAACACCTTAGCCTCTTCTCTCAACGAGCCCTCTAGAGGCCAAGAGGCCTTTCTCGCACGCGACGAGTTTGCACAAGCAGCAAAGTCTGTCCCCTTCCCTAAGCTTGCAGAAGAGGCATCTTTTCAAAAGGCCAACAACGAGTGCCGCATGGCATTAGGCGACCTTCAAAGACCGGCTTCGAGCGCAAAGCCTTTGTCTATCCAGGGAGGCTGTACGCCCTTAGACGGCTCCCCCTTCACAACTGCACCGCATGCGGACCAGACCCTTTTCCTGCCTGCAGTGCCACAAGAGCCGCATGTACATGAGGCAGGCCTGTTGTCTCCTAGGAATTCTTCGGCATTTTGCTCCCTCTCCTCATCCTTGGATGGGGACTCGTTCTTCGAAGATTTTGTAGAAGGTAACCAGGAGGGATCTCAGGCCGCCGTGGCATCGGAGGTGGAGCCCCTCGTGAAGGTAACAGGATACAAAGAAACTTCCAGCCTACTGCACTCAGAGGCGCAGCTCCACGATACTTTTACACTGTTTCTAGAACAGCGTGAGCAACAGCAGGGGCAGCAACATCGGCACGTCGGCGCAGACTCCAATCAAGACGCTGGTGTGGGGGATCCAGAAGGGAATGCCGTCTCTATTCGTGCCGGCAGTGTGGCATTAGCAGCAAAGCCATCAGACGCCTTTGCTGAAGCTGGCAAATTGGTGCGCAAAGCAGAAAGAAAAACTTGGGCTTCAACTCAGAATGCAGAGCTCGAGGGCATGCATACCCATGCAACAGCCGAGAGGATCACTGGACAAGCCTCTGCAGCAGCAAAAGCAGTGCGGCCACCACCAACGCAAGCTCTACCAAGAAGCGTAATATCAGCAGGAACAGAAAAGACGCACGCCGGGCACCTTGAACCATCTAGTGGTGCAGTGTCACAAGGTTCAAACGCAGCGGCGATGCCTGCAGGTGGAACGTCAGCAGCACAGGCATTGGACACCGACGCAGCACAAAACGTATGTGCAGCACCACCTGCACTGAAATTACCAGAAGTTTTTCTGGCAGATGCACCAGATACAACGGAGAGGGCAGGTGCAAAAGGTTATACGACACACATCGGAACATCATCGATCCGCTCAGCAGTACATGCACTACCCTTTGAAGACATAGCGATAGGAGGGGACCCGACTGCTGCTGAAGCAGCAAGAGCTAATTCAGCTGAATCAGCCGTTGTCGAAGCAAAAGCCGCGGCAGCAGCAGCAGGGTGCGCACAACAAGCTAAGGAAAGGGTAGTTGACACAGTGGCAGCGTCAAGCGCAATGCTAAGAGCAACAACGGACGCCACCCCGGCTGCAGGAGCAGCAGTTGCTACTGCCGCAGAGTCAGAGTCTATGAAGAAGGCAGTTGTAGCGAACGCAGTAACCGTCCCGCGTCTAGCTCCTCGAGTAGCTGCATTAGTATCAGTAGTAGAAGCAGCCGCAGTATCGACAGTTGCTGCGATGGCCAAGGCCACAACACCGAATGCTATTGGCACAGCAGCAGTAGCAGAAGCCGCGGCAGCGAACAACGCAGCAGCAGAGGATACGGCGTCAGAAGCAGCCACACCGGCTACAGTGCCTGAAAAAACAAAGAGGGAGGCAGAATCAAAAGGCGCACATACCAGCAGCGTCGCAGGTGTACCAGAAAGACCCGCAGCAACGGCAGCAGCAATAGGAGAAAGAGTAGCCACAGATTCGACAGCAGGCGCATCGGCGTCAATGAAGGCATATGTATCAGCAAAGAAAGCAGTAGAAGCAAGTCAGCTCCTTGCTTCAGCGGCAGCAGCAGCAATTGCAGGCCGGCGTCAGGCATCTGAGGCCACAGCAGATGCTACCGCATTTGCTGATGCAGCTGCCAGCAAGGCACTCGAGGCAGTAGCAAGTGCTCAAAAGTGCACTGACGCAGAGTTTCGCTGTGTGGCTGCTGCGGAGGTGGCAGAAGCTGCAGCTGAGCGATCCACTGCAACAGCGCATGACGTCGCTTCTCTCTTGATGCTGGTAGCCGCAGCAGAACAGCGACTCCAGGCTCTGGTCACTGCTGCACGCGCCTCGGAGCAAGCTGCTGCTTGCAGCAGAAGCGCGGCTGAAGCAGCATCAGCACATGCTGCTGATGCTGCTGCCGATGCTGAAAAACAAGACCAAGAAGCAGACGCTTATAAAGGGGCTGCCAAAAGTGCTGCGTTAGCAGCACAAGAAGCAGCGAATATTGCGTATGGCATAGTAGCAGAGATCGAACAGCAAGCTGCTACTGCTTTTGCTACGCTTCAACGAGCTCAAACAGAAGCTGAGGTTGCCTACGGAGAACTGAAAGCAGCATCGAAACAAGAAGAGACTAAGATAAAGGAATTATCGTCGGCAGCCGCAGTAATAGCTGCTGAATTGCAGGCACAGAGGGAGACTGCCACAGTGCATGTTGCCGAGAGCAGGCTGCACGTGGAGGCAGCTGCTGCAGCTGCAGCTGCTGCCGCACAGAAGCAGCACAGGGTTGAGGACTCCGAAGTAGTGGTGCAGGCTACTGTGCGCGTTGTGCAAGAAGCGGCAGAAGCTGCTTCAGGATGTGTCTCAGCAGCCGAGAAACACCATAGAGCGTGTGAAGAAGCAGCTCGGCGTGCATTGCAGGCAGCAGCAGCAGCTAATGCTGCTGCCGCGGAGCTTCATATGCACAAAGAAGAAGCCGCTACAAATGCTGCGAGGACCCGAAACCACTGGGAGGTTGCAGCAATGCACTGCGCTGGTGTGGAGCAACACCTGCTAGATGCTGCTACAGATGCAAAGCAGGTGCAAGAGCATGCAATTGCTGTCACAACAGCTGCCACCACTGCCGCAGACCAGTTGCAGCACGTAAAAGATTCAGGGAACCTGGCCAGAGCTGCTGCTGCCGCAGCGCAGGAAGCTTCTGACGTTGCGGCTGGCATTGTGGCAGGCTTACAGCAGAAGCAAGCTGCTGCTACTGCTATCATAGAAGGACCACACGACGCTCAAAAACAGAAAGGCCGCGGTGCTGGAGGCCATTCAAAAAGCCCGCAACACAAGGAAGCAGCTACGGCAGCTGCTGCGGCAATGCAGCACTCCAGGTTAACCACTTCAAGGGAAGCTGCTGAACTGCAGCAGCACGGGAAGACAGGAGCGGCAGCAACAGAAGAGATAGAAGAATGGAGGCAGGCTGAAACTCGTGTGGAAAACCGAGAGAAAGTCACATCGGCTGCAGCTTTTGCTGCCACAATTGCAGCAGAGCGGTCCCCGAAGCAGCTTTCGCAAGCATCCGGTGAGCCACAGTCTGCTGCCTTGGCTACGCATGCAGCTGGCAAAGCTGCTTCTCTGTCCCCAGAAGGCCCCAGGCACCCGCATGCGACTCATATAAAGCAGGTGCTTCAGCAAGCTTCAACAGCCTCAGATGGAGCGCGTTCCGAGCACGAAGAATGGGTTCCCAAGTGTGGAGTTAGCAAACCGACAGAAAACGCATCAGGTACTCATCTGCAGGATGAGGCAGCTAAGTGCGCAGCGACAGTAGCACAGCAGCACATGCAAGCGGCAGAGGGAAGTGCCGCTGCAGCGGAAGCATCGGCGTTGCGTTGCGTTGAGATTGAAACTCAGTTGCGCTGTCTCGCTGATAAAGCTGCAGCAGGAGCAGCATCAGACCGGTTGATGCTAAAGGAAGCCTTCCAGGCTGTGGTAACCGCGGCAGCTCGCTCCCAGAAGCACGTAGAGGCCCTCTGCGCTGCAACAGAAGAAGCGACAACGGAGGTGCTTCAACACCGGAAGAGCCTGAGTGTGGCAAGAAACCAAGCGCTTGCAGCGGCAGCAGAAGCAAAAGAGGCAGCTGCAGCTGCCACGGCTGCTGTGGGGGCCACCCAAGCAGCTGAACTGATGGCGACGAGAGGGGCAGCAGCAGCGGCATCTGCGGCTGATGCATCGTTGCAGGCCGCTGAGCAAATCAGGTTGGCTGTGGAGTCAGTCCAGGAGGCAGGCGAGTTTGCAGACCCTGCAAAAGCCGCAGCAGAAGCAGCGGTGACAGCAGCAGAGAGCGCCTCAGCCGCCAAGGCAGCGGCTGCCATTGCTGCCGCGCAAGCCGCAAGCAGTCAAGAAGCTAGCAAGACTGCGACTCGCGGGGCAGTAGCGTCTTTAAAGGCAGCAGACACCGCAGTGAGAGCCGAGCGCGTAGCCGCCGAGCAGCTTGGCATGGTTGTTGTTGCCACGTCACATATCTCGCAGAAGGTCTCCCTCATCCTCTCCCATAGAGAGGGCGCCTCGACTGCGACGGCCAACCCAAATGCAGCAGGAGTCAGCACTGGCAAGCTCACTATTGGGGCCTCCGGCAAGAAACCGCATCTGATACCTCCAGATGGAGCCGGTGTTGTGGTGGAGATTAGGAGTGCGTCGAAGGGAGTTGAAGGCAGGCAGCAAAAGCTGAATCATTCCGCTAAGCGTCCTGGCGCTCCTGGTACGTCGAATGAAGTGGTCGCAGCGAAAAGCAGCGGCAGCAGGCCCTCATGCTGGACGCGCCTTCCTGCTCTACCTGCCGAACCTTCTGGCAGCACCTGTACAGCGGGAGACTCTGCAATAGATATCTCTCAGCGGTCCCATACCAGCGTTATCAAAAATACGGAGAGCAGAAGCAACAACAACAGCAGTACTAGGAGCAGCGAAAATAACAAGCAGGCAACTCGAGGTGTGGTCATTGCGAGGGTTCGGCAGCCTCAGACGACACATACGAAGGGTATAATGGCTCCTGTAATGGAGCCTAGTCGTTCTACCGTTAGCCCTGCTGTTACTGCTGCTTCGGCGCTTCGGGTCGAATCTAGCAGCGTCTTAAGCTTAGAAAGCTCAAGCAGCTGCAGTAAGCGGATATATCAGCACAAAAGAGGTCGCAGCGAAGAAGACAGCAGCAGTGAGCAGCAACGCGCCCATCCTCAATGGCGAAACTGGGGGTCCCCAGTACACCAGAGACAACATCAGCGGGAACGGACGACCCCAGTTTTCCCAAAGCCTCTCAACCTTTACCGGCAGCCATTGGGAAGGCAACAAAATGAAACCCCTGAGTTGAGGAGTTCCCCTCAGAGAGGTCATAAGGACTCCAGGACACCTTCTTGGGAAGTGACTGAGGATCAGCGGCTGCGTGCGTCTTTAGAGGCGGTGCTTGCAGGAGAAAGGCGAAGACGTCATGAGCAACGGACAAATCTTCTCGTCCAGTCAAAAGTAGGCAATGCGCACATCATCTGGCCTCCCTCTAGAAATCTGCCCCTACATCACAGGAGGCCACCTTGCGGACCCTAGAATGTCATCAAAGCATAGTGCAGACCTAGGATCTTTTAGTGTCTGGCAGCAAGTTGTTTTTCTCGGTGCCGCTGCAGTTGCAGAGGCAGCAGGCGGCACTTGTTGAGGCTTCGGCCCAAGTGTCTAGAAGGCTGGATGCCAACACAAACGAAGTCGCCGCTCTAAAGGTAGGGACAATGGTTTCGGACCATGTTGCCTCCACGAGTTCCATCTTCGGAACTCGAGGAAGAGACCAGTGCATTGGAATTAACAATGGCACAAGGCTTCAGAGCAGGCGATCGGGGGCACACGGTTTGGGGTGGTTTGTTGCAGAGGACGGTGAAATCGCTGCTTCGCTCCACAGAGGCGTACAAAGCCCCCAGGGGTGGCCAGAGTCTACCGCATGCTGCAGCGTCCAAAGCACCGAGGGCACGGTGCTGTACCGCGTGCAACAGGGACAGCCTCAACAACAGTGCGCGGCAGCCACAGGCAGAGGGCACGTCGCAATCTCAAGGGGAATTTGCTGCTGCTACCTCGCCAACTGCGAGGAAACACAGTGCTCAGAGAGATTTCAGTACGACAGCACTACCTACGGTGGCCCTAAGAGCTAAAAGCGATGCTGCTGCTTGTGCAGCTGCCAATGCGGTGTCCTCTATTTGTGTCGCTGTACTGCTGCCCCGCATGGCATGGTGTTTCTTCTGCTTCTGTTGGTCCACAACTGTGCTAGTACTGCTGTTTCTGTTCACAGCAGACGATCCAGAAGAGCTCTCTATGGCCATGGTGCTTCCGCTGCTGAGGCGAGCCCTAATGACGAGACCATGCTGGAATTCTGAGAGCGAAAAATCTCCCGCAGCACAGCACCGTCATGGGGAAGGCGCGGCAGGAAACGAGGAAGGGCGCATCTCCTTGCACACTGCTGAGAGACGGGACCAACAGGCTCCTGAAGTGCAACAAGGAGCATCTTCTTTAGCACATTCTCTTCCTGTGAAACATGCAACGCCTACTCCAGCTGTGTGGGGTCACAAGCACACAGCTGCAGCAGCTGTGACAGCCACACCGCCACAGGAAAGCCAGAGAGACGCAACTTCCGACTCCTATTCTGTCCCCGATGAACATGATGAAGAAACGAGTGCTGAAAAAACAAACAGGAAGCTTACCTCGGCGGCGACAGCGGTCGGTAAGAGAGCACCAGATGCAGGTCAGAGATCCCAATGGAGAGAGTCTAGTAGAAGCAGCTGCAGTGCCTCTGTTCGAGAAGAACGGAATCAAGCCAGGGCAGCAGCGACAGCAGCAGTTGCAGCCGCTGTAGAAGCAGCAGCAGTTGCTGGTGTGGCTGCAGCGGCTGCCTTTGGCCAGCAGCAGCTTCAAAGGCCTCGCCAAACCCAGAGTCCCCAACTTTTCGAGCACAAACAACAGGAGCAATGCGAAGGGCCCGTATCCGCCATAAGAATCATAAGGCCCTCCCCTTCATTGTCCCCCCTGAGCCCCAGGTTGTTGGCTGCACTGGCAGCCCCCCGTGAGTGCCCTCCAAAGGTACCGCTGATTCGTCCCAAGCCTCCATTGGAGTTTGAAAGTCGCGGGGCATCTCAAAGATGATGACGTATACAGAAACCCCGCCGTGGGGACCCTCATTCAATAGGATTCCTGCAGCCGGATCCCTGCCTCCAAGAGAAGATCGATTTATTACCCCCCGGGGAATGAATAAGACTCTGACAGTATTGTGCGCTTGCGGAGCTTGCCTTTTGGCAAACCCTATGCACCCCTGTCCTTCACTGGATGTCCACTGCTGTGGATCTCCATCTAGGTACCGTATGTCCCTGATTTGCGTTTCTTCCGTGACCACGAATAGAAGGCAATCGGTGCGTGAACCAAAAGAATCGCCTTAGGTGCAGTAGTCGTTACTCGAGCATTTCAACAGTACACGTGAAACATGTTGACAATTTGAAGTTCAACCTGAGCCAGGGTCTGGTATATCCACAATGCACCTCTAGGGGCCACGCTCAGCTCGAGTCTCCCAAAGCCCTGGTTTTGTTCAGACGCAGTCGCGGCACACGAAATACTCGTGTGTCTGTGTTAAACTATAGAAGAATGTTCTGAAGCTAAGAGATTATTCGAGAGGCATTCATCATTCGGCATCTTTGATTAGATGCCTAAATTGGGAACTCAGCAAGCCGAAGAGAGTCATGACTCAAAAGGCCCCGCATTAACCAATGGGGCAAAAGGCATCTGCACCGCTCTCATGTGGCACCACAGCATCGACCTGCGGCTTTCGTTTGGTGCAACCAGGGGGGAATCAAAAACGGCACAGGCCACGAAATATCAGGAGAAAGTTGCTAGCTGGACTGAGCGAGTGGTGTTAATATCTTTCAGTCGGCTCAATTCAAAATAGGGTGTTTTTTTGGTATCTCAGGCAAAAGCTGGGGCCTACCTTTATGGATCCTCGACTCATTACTAGCCTCCATTACCTCAGTCCCAATATCATGCCCCATAGCAATGTAATCTCTCGATGGTGTCGAAGTGTGCATATCTTGTACATACCAGCTTTTACGACTTGCCACCTTGCATGCCCCGATTTTGTTCTTTGCGAATCTATTTCCTTCGTGGACGCAATGGCAAAACATAGTGGCGCAACGCGGAAGAACGCCGAATCCCGTACCTTTACCCTTCGCGATCCATTCAGCTCATGAGTCTCCAGTGGTGTTAAGTTGGATCCGACGTTTGTGTGGTCCGTCGTCATACTGGAACTTTTTGGACGCACTAGATGGCTGCCTTTGTGACCTCTTCATAAAGGAACCTCTTCCAAAGCATCATAAAGTACCAGCTCCTTACGGGAAAAGCGAGTAGCAGGGGTCTCAGGAATTTCGTCAGTGAGGTGTTCATGGATCTTAGCACCAAACGAAAGCCAAACTTGAGACAAAAGATCACTGTCTTGGCCTGCAATTTGGGGTTTCAGGCCCCGTGCAGCCATATGCGTTGTTTTGAAGGCATAACTATGGCCCTAAGTTTACTAAACGTCTTGAGCTCTTCTCATTTCATTCCAGCTGCGAAGACAAACGTGCATGTCATGGCGAACATTTTTTCGATAGGTCTCTTTGTATCTGCTGCCCCCAGGAGGAAGCCTACCCAGAAAAGGGAAAAGGGGCAGCTCGATTATGCTATACCGCAGCCCCTTAGCACCCCAACCATTCAAAGCTAGTTGCGCATTGCACGTATCACACAGCGCGTAAAACTGCATCATTTTTGCATCAAGCTGATAGTGCTCTGCAATAAACAAGATATACGAAGAGGCAAATCACAAAGTCAATTCCTTTCTGTTCTCTGAGGAGTGGAATAGGTGTATTAGTGTGTCGTTGCCCATTACATTTCGACCCCCTGTTTCATGACACACGCCCTCCTAAATCTTACCTGTACGTCGGGACCAACGGCATGCACGACAGCGAAAGAGTCTTTGCCCTTCCGCTACTTCCCCCTCAAAGAAAAATTCAAAACATTGCAAATGAGAAAAAAGATAGGTGAATCAGCGGCTGCAGTGAAATCTTCGGGAAGGTAGGCATATATTAAAGCATACACACATGCACACACGTATACACTGGTGAACAATGAACTGCAGCCCAAACCAACTCCACGGCGGCAGTGCGATGGCTCGCCATCTTTGTAGTGCTAGCACGTGTGATCCTTTTGCTACGATAAACCGGAGAATAAGCAACATGTGGAAAGCGAGTGGAAATGATCATAAGTTCAACAGTTCCTGCGCGCTTTAGAGAGTAATTCCTGCATGCCGATACAGTTGGTGCATGTAGCACTTCTAGGCCCCGAAAGAGGCATCAGTAAAAATAAAGGGACAGCTACCTGAAAATGCCTGCGCATAAATCTGAATGCGGACGAACCCTAACAGTACTCACCGACAACTTTTCAAGCAACGTTTATAGATGAAAAAGGCTACGGCAGGCAGGGCAGTCGTTGAAAGGAGAAAATTACCAAGGAATGTACGAAGTACCGTTCATGGTCACTGCCATTGATACTCGAACGGAACCGATACTTCTTTCGCAGGGAACAAAGCTAGCAACTGCTGCTCCTTCAACCGACCAGTTTGGCATTGCCGACCCCGGTTTCACCAGAAGCTCCCTCCTAGTGTGTTCGCAGCACTCAAAAGTCCCTAAACTTGAGCATTTCTGTGGCTCCCTGTGAATGCTACGCCCTTACATGGATCGCTTAACTGCGCAAAAAAATTCTGCAAAAAAGTCGGGGAGCGTCGAAAGCTATAGGAAATCAACAATGGTAGCTTTGTTGCACATACAGCATGAGGGGAATTCGTAGAGTATGAAAGAACATTGATTTCTGAGAGAATGGCTCATGGCCCTGACCTTCTTTTAGCACACTCCTTCGTGCAGTCACTTTCTGGTGCACCTTATGAAGCCTGCCGAGCCACTAGACTCAATTCGCCAGACTCGAAGCATATAGCTGATCACGAATTATCACATTTACTCAATTGCCTATCTTGGCGTTCGCTCAGTCATTCGCATGCACCAGCCAGCTGCTTTCCAAATACCTCCTCTTCTATAGGTGGCTGCGAACCCTAGGCCAGCAGATACAGGGCCGGATCGGAGAGGAGTTTCTCAGCGGAGAACAGGGATTGTAAAGAGCAACGGGTAGGCGAGTGTATTGTCGTGTTATGTTTTCATTCAGCACAATGAAGAGACTCCAAACAAGCATTTTTGTTAGCACAAAGGCTTAGGCTGTGCAGGATAGGGTGATCGGGGAGCTCCGCCAACCCATCTGCCTCGGGGTGACTCGTAACGTCAGGTTGAGGGCAACGTGTAGGCGGGTGATAAAGGCACACCAAAACGCATCTGCGAAACCTCAAGTCCCTATGCGTGATGATACTCCTGGGCAATTCATGAAGCATTCTCCCTGTGGCAGAGCTGCAGCAAGGGGTCACACATGCACATATGCTGAGCCTGCCAACAAAGACGTGGATGATATGCTGCACCTTGACCCCCAAAAATCGAACAGCAAAGTTCGTAGTCAGATCAATCCAATTCCAGAAACCGTAAGGCTTTGCAAAGTTTCGTTTAAGAACGCCTTCACGATTTGGCCTGCCGACAATTTGGCCACGACAGTGCTTTCTGCTTTGCAGCGAGACGCATCCCTGGCCACCAGAAGGACCGTGAGAGATTGTGTGTTGCAGTGGGAACCCCACGGTGGCTCATAAGAACATGAATGCGTGCTTTGCGCGGAGCAGCATATATAAAAGCAATGAGTGTTCTGCTTTGCTTTGAGCCAGAGCACGCTTTTCTAGAGGTGATAGTGTTTCACGCCTTTGCCAGTAGATTTTGGGTTTTGCGAATTTGTGGGTGTTAAAAGCACCAGACACACGCGCTTTTCGAAAGAAATCGTGCTGCACAATAATAAATCGATGGGGTGTTGCGAAGAAGCGTCGGTGACCATCCAGGTGATGCCCTTGGCAAGCTTTACTGCGGAAGTCGTACTGCAGGGGGCGTCAAAGCGCGATATAACCTTGGGACCCTGAAGACTCTTAGTAAGGTATTCTAAAAATTGATGGTCAATCTGTAGAGTAAAACGACGCCCATATAACTAGTGCCGTCGTTCTTATTGCCCAGTACACCGCGTATAGCTCATTTTCCTGCATTCGACACCCCTGCTCGATTTTAGTGAAGCGACGAGAATAGTCAGCAATAATTTGGTGTTTTTGGAGACCTTGTAACCTGTTGAGAGAAAATAGCTCCCCGCCGGTTACGTCACTAGAATCGGCTGCTAGGAAGAATTGGCGCTCATACTAGGTTAGCACAACAGAGGATTTGGAAGGTAGCCCACAAGTGGTCCTGTCGCGGTATCAGCCTCCGCTGTCCAGATTACAGATACTCCCGTTTCCTACTTAGTTCAGCCAAAAGAGCAGCACTCCAAACAAATCCAAAAACAAAATTCTGGCTATAGAATGCAAGCCCGTAGAATTTTTTGATTTTTCAACATCGTAAGGAGTGCTTAAACGTAAAGACCACACTTTGATTGCTTGGATTTCAGCCATACCGAGCTCAATTGCTGCAACCAAAACACAAAATACCAGAAGCACGATTGGTCTCATTATTGAATCAAACACTTGTTTCCCCTCATTTACCACTTGGTGTCTAGCAGCAGCCGACGCGCATGCCTTAGGCGCCGTAGGTGCTCTTAAATAACTTGGCTAACAACTGCGACGTCGTCCACGTTTACTACTATCTACCCCTCCTCTATAAGCTCACTAAGCTCCCTATATCATTTAAGTATGTAGCTCAGCTGGCGCTTTAACAAACCCAAATGGCATACAGGTTTACTCGATTGCGAGTACGAATAGGCAACGCCGTTTCATTCGCCTCAACAACAGGATGGATGTGGATTTGTGGAAACGTCTCCTTCACGTAGTAGTGGTAGACTGTAGATCCGTGTATTTTGTCTAACTATCTGGGGAAATGCGGCATTTGAAGCTTTAGTGTCAATGGATTGCTGTCCAGAAGCTTAAAGCCAGCGCACATTCCCCAACTACCGTCCTTTCTCAGCACAAACACCGGGTCGTGGCCCCCTGGACTTCAACCTTTCCAGCAAACCATTCTTCTGTCAGTCAAGCAAGTCTTGTTGCTATGGATAGCTCTGATATTGCGGAACATAGCCTGGGGCTGAGCCGAAGATTAGGTAAATGCGGAGCGCCGGACTGTCAGCAGTTGGCCAGTCTGCTGGCAGGTCGTCATGAGACAACATATTCGCGAAACGCCCCTTATTATTTTATCGCATCTTCCCTTTCTCAGCAGAAGTTTAGGCTCTATCCCCTTATCAGAAACCAGCTACAGTCTAGGCGGGATGCGCTCCCAGAACCGTCTTTTCTTACTTCGCTGCTGAACCGGCTGCATGGTTAGTCTTCCTCACATTGTTGAGCTACCGACTCTACTCCGCTCATCAGAGATGATAGAAGCATTGTGGAAGAGATCACAAGGCCCGTCGTCCTAGCACTGTCTGGCTCGATAGCCTCCAAAGCCTGCAGTAGTGGCCGCATGCGCGCCTTTGGTTGGGACACCTACGCTAGACCTAGGTTGACGTTTGCAGCACGGGGACAGCACAGAAGTCTCGGATCATGCTGACAGATCCTAAATCCAAGGCAAAGTGACATCTAACTGGCGCAGGCTTGCCAATATTCGCGTCCTGCCAGCCGTGAATAAGTCCGAGTGAAAGGGGCTGCCTCAGTCAGTACATAAGGATTGCACTTCTGCTACGTTTCCTTATATGACAGATCCACTCTGCATCCCCTGTCAAGTAAATCTAGCACCTCTCGACTGCTAATGTGAACTAGTATGAGCGCAAAAATGACGCGTAATGGGTCTCCAGTGTCTACTATATCCTCTGCAGCACCCTTTACCCTGTCGCAGCGCTTGTGAGGGGCTTCCCGTCTCCGCTGTGCGTTTCTGGCCATTCCAGCAGCGTCCTTCCGCTGCGCCCAGTAACGCTGTTCGTGCTCTCTGACTCTTACTTGCGTTTGAAGCCTCGGATTGTATTACCCAGTCCCCCATAATGAGACAAGTTTGTCTCTGGAGGCTGGCTGGAGCCGCTTAGGAGCGCAGGTTCCTGCTGGTTTCCTTTTAAGCGACCCCCTAGACTATAGCCTATGGCCAATTGACACCGCCCCGACATCCACAGATTTTAAATACCTCTTTGTTGCTTTCCTTTCAGAGAAGACAAGGGAAACTCGCTTTCTTGCTCATGAACCCTTGTTTACTCACCGTTTCCGGAAGCCCCACAGGACGGCTGCTTTATCGATGAGTCGCTGCTTACCCTGCGGCCACGTGACGTGATACTTCAGCTAGACCTGAGAAAACCACTGCCACGCACCTCTTGCCTACGTTGTATCTTTGACAAATCAAAACTTCCCGTTTCGCGAAATAGATATCTCTCGATAAAGCCCCTTGTTTTAGCTTTCTCACTTCGCCCAAAGCTTGCTAGCGTGCTTATTTCGGCATAGCCACAGCAGGGCGTGAATCAAGCCTTGAAATGGAGTGATATCTGAAACCAGACGATCTAGTGCACATGAACATATTTGTGACTGAAGTATTTCTTACTCCAATTGACAGGCCGCAAGCAGCACCCATTCCTTCATCTCGGGGGTACAACAGGAGGTGCATATCAACCGGATTTTTGAGTATTCGAGGTTTTGCCCATCTTTAAGACCACCACGCTTATCTGGTAGGCATAACGTGATGTGCACAGCCATCAGCATCTGGGTGGCTGAGAGATCATGCCTTCCCACCCGCTGCGGAGTTCCTGCATTAACATCAGCTTGCAGGCCAGACTCGGCCGCCAGCATCGTGGCGCAGGCAGCTCTCATCGCCTTATAAATTTTTGAGCCTGTTGCCAGCTAAAACCAACTATTGGATCGGGAAATGCTTTAATCGAAATCAGACAACCATTTCAGGGGAACTAATGTCCTCCTGCGCCTACAACCAATGGAAGAACAATTAGCAAGTGCTTTTGGCTACAGTAAAGCATGGTTGCGTTCCCTCGTTCTTTATTGCGGCTTCTATCTTGCTTCCATCTACTTACCTAGTTGATGCAGGAACCCGTTACCAAGATACATTAGAGCCTGTGGAACTTGCATTCACTTGAGACACCGAGATATCGTGACATCCGGGAGACATTTAATTCCAGATTCGATACAAATTTCATTCGAAGTTATTGTGTGTTCCCAAAAGAGCTCTCGGCTTACCCTGCCCTCCCCACCTAGAGCTCCCGACGTGAGAGAAAAAGGACGGCGAGAATGCGCGTAGCCATGTTTTTAAGCTCCCCGGGGGTTCGCAGCTTGTTGCGTGTAGCATCCAGCGCACGGGCACACGATATTGCATCTTATCGTATCATGCTAAGACTTCTCTGCAGCAAACAAGATATACGAGCAGACAAGCCGATTGGTCAATTGCTTACTAAGTCTCTGCTAAATATAACCGGTGAAGTAGAAAGCGGTCAAGTGTAGCTGAGCCCGCCAAAGTGGGCTTGAGGCAAGAACTAACTCACAACAGTCGACTAAGGCAGCATTGGTTATCCACAAATGTCTAGTGCTGCCTTAACAGCTTGAGCATGGTATGTCACGCGAATGCGCCAGCCGGATGAGCGCAGACTATTGCCCGCCCTTCCACGTTTTACAACTGTTCTGTCACCCCTCAGACGGTGGCTTCACAATGGCAAGTGGACCTCATAGTGTCAGCCTTTGGAGCTTACATATCCGTCGTGAGTCATGATGAAGAACCTCTAAAGCTCAAGTGGATGCTACACTTTGTCTGAGCAATGCAATGGTTGTAGCAAAGCTATGCCTAGCAAAGACAGTTGTATGGTTACAAAGGACGTGTGGACGAAATAGGTCACTGCGGAAGATATGGGAATGCTTCGTTGGGGGAGGAAAGGTTAAGGCTTTGAAGCTTAGGGCTTTGTGTTGAGGTTGCAGTGCTACGAGTCGACCAGCCCCGCCGTGGCAGTCTCCCACTCTGTTGGTTCGCCCCACAGCTGAGGGGAGAGAGCTGTTATGCTTCATGTTGCCGTGATTCTCTCCTCAGTGGTCTATTGTTCCCTGAGTTTCAGGGTTTGTGGTCTAGGAATAAGAGGCCCTGTCGTCGTTTCTGCAGTATTGGCGGAGGCGTCCCAGGGGGCCCTCACTCCATAGAAGGGACTCGCAGGAGTGCTTGTCTTCTTCCGCTTTTCCCTTTGCTTTTAGAGCACCCTCTTTGAGGGTTTAGCCCACTGTGCCAATATTCTGCTCTGATGTCGCAATCCGGACAGAGGACGCCTACGACCATAGAGCCCGTAGGCTCGACCCCCTTCGAGGCCGCGAGTTTAGGGATGAAGTTCCTCGTGGTTACAGGGGGAACTATGAGCGGATTAGGCAAGGGTACTACAATAAGCAGCATTGGTAGGACGTCTGTATCACCCTTATCAACAAGAGTGAAGCCCCTATTTGCCCCTTCCACCCCATTGCCTTCCCCCCTCCCCCCCCCGACGCTCCCTCCGAGTTGACCTCGCAGGGAACATAAAAGGCGGAGACATGAGAAACCCTTCTACCCGTAGAATGGGCGCGTGCTCCTCCTGACGAATAGCGACGCAGACGGCCTTCGAGGGGCCCCCTACAGAACCTGCAATTGATCAGCATCTCCCCACCAAGTTTTCCTTCGTTCCACAATACAGAGAGAGTATGCTGTCAAGCAGCAGCAGCTTTTTTCTTCCGAGTGCGCGCATTTGTGTGGCTTTTTTCAGGTGTCGTACTGCGGGCTCACGGAGTGCGTATTTCTGCGATTAAAATTGACCCATACCTCAACGTGGACGCCGGGACCATGAGCCCGTATGAGCATGGGGAGTGCTACGTCTTAGACGATGGAGCAGAAGTTGACTTAGACTTGGGCAACTATGAGCGGTTCTTGGGTGTGTCTCTCTGTGGGGAGCACAATGTAACGAGCGGCAAGGTGTACCAGCAAGTTATTGGGGGAGAGAGGGAAGGCGTCTACTTGGGGAAGACTGTGCAGATGGTGCCACACGTGACAGACGCGGTGCAGCGTTGGATTCTCAAGGTGGCCTCCCGACCCGTGGATGACAGCAGGATGCCCCCAGACGTTTGCCTCATAGAAGTGGGGGGAACTGTTGGAGACATTGAGAGCGCAGTGTACCTGGAGGCCATCCAGCAGCTAAGCCGCAAAGTTGGGTTGCAGAACTTTTGTTTGGCGCACGTCTCTTATGTTCCTTTCATCGGGGAGCAGAAGACCAAGCCGACGCAGCATGGAGTCAAGGTGAATCTGAGACCCTCTGTCGACCTTCCAGCTGCACTGCCATTCCTGAAAAGGCTGCCTTTAGAGGTCGTGGGCTGTGGTAATGTTGCGGTTGCGTCATGCTGTTGGTGCTGATGCTGCAGGAGTTACGCGGCGCAGGGCTTGCCCCCGACTTTCTTTTCTGCCGGAGTGAACAGCCCCTGACGGAGGCCGCAAAACAAAAGATCTCGCTTTTTGCGCAAGTGCAGCCAGAGCACGTGAGTCTTAGGTCCCCCTTTTTACGATCTGCCACTCGCCCCATAATATATCCGCTTCTTACCCCCGCTATGCGTGCTGAGCTGTGTCTGTGTTAGGTTTTCTCGGTGCACAACTGCGAGAACATCTACAAAGTGCCACTCCTCCTGGAAGATCAGGAGCTCTCTACACGACTCATCCAGGTGGGTGCTAGGCCCCCGCTTAGCCCGTGGGATCAATATGGTGGATAGCTCTCATTATCGGTGTGCTGCATGTCTCGCTGTATATCTGTGACTGCGTGCATCCCTTGACCCTCCCGCCTACCGCTCTGTGCATCAGAGCCTCTGTCTCGAATTCCCTTGCTGCCTCCTTATTTTCTCACGAAGGAAGACCACTCTTTGCATGCTTTGGTGTCCTGCGTTATTTTCGACGTTCTTTTTTGTCTTGCTTCCCGCGCCGCAGCGCTTGGGCCTCGACTCCAAGGAGCTGCAAAGCCGTTCGTCTTCAGCTGTTTCCCTTGGCGGGTGGAGGATGATGGCCGAACGTCTGCTTATGGCCTCCCCAGGTTCCCCCAAGTCGGTGTGCATTGGCATTGTGGGCAAGTACACGGGGCTGACGGATTCTTATTTGTCCGTACTGAAAGCCCTAGAGCACGCGGCCATGGAGGCGGGTTTGGGTTTAGCACTTAAATGGATAGAAAGTAGCAGTCTGGAGGACGAGAAGGGGGAGGGCTACGCCGATGCCTGGAAGGCGCTTAAGAGTGTAGACGGAGTGGTCTGCCCCGGAGGATTCGGAGATCGAGGAATCTGGGGCAAGGCACTCAGCGCGCAGCATTGCAGAGAAACTGCCAAGCCGTACCTTGGCATTTGCCTTGGCATGCAAACGGCGGTCATTGAGATAGCGCGCTCACTCTTGGGGCTGCGCGAGGCGGACTCAGAGGAGTTTAACCCGAACACCCCTCACCCCGTCGTCGTCTCCATGCCAGAGCACACAACGGGTAACAAGGGGAGCAGCATGAGGCTGGGCAAGCGGGCCACCATCATCAGGGACAAACACTCGCTCACTGCCAGGTTGTATGGTGGAGAGCCAGTTGTAGATGAGCGGCACCGACACAGGTATGAGGTAAACCCACAGTATGTGCAGCAGATTGAGGCCAAGGGCCTTAAATTTGTGGGGCAAGACGAGAGGGGGCAGCGCATGGAGATTGCCGAGCTCCAGGATCATCCCTTCTTCATATGTACACAGTTCCACCCGGAATTCACCTCTCGCCCTCTTAGACCGTCACCTGTATTCCTGGGCCTCATTCTAGCCGCTGCGGGAACACTACAGGATCGCCTCAAGCAGAACGGGGGATTCCTCAGGCCAGGGAGTGCCTATGCCGAGCATATGCACAGCTAAATATTGCAGGAAAACCGCATGGGGTTCTTCCAATTGTGATCATAGAACCCACATTTTTCTCAACACGCGCCCTCCAGAGCTGACGGCGGTAGCTTTCAACTCAGCAGGAACAGCAGCCCTGTAGCGAAGATGGCAAACAGACTGTGGTGCCACGCACCAGCCAGGCCCTGTATTGTCTCGGCGGCACTCGTAGATAGGGAATAATTAGGTGGCAGGGGTTCATTTGAGCAAAACTGGGAGGCTGGCGCGGGTTAGAGAGGGAGTGATGTCCCTTAAGTCATCGCTCTCCAACCAAGAACTGGTGCAACTTGGGCTGGCGCAGCCAGGTCTTGCTTTTGCTTTCGCATATAACTACGGATTCAGCAGCACTGGCGGCTACCCTCTGAGGAGAGCACCCTATTGGCAATATTTGTATTGCTCGCGACACTGTAACAAGTGCACGCGCTCCAAATCTTCATGTCATGCTACCTGACTCTCACTTCTATTGGACTCATAAAGCTAGCAGGACGCAGATGCTGGATCAGGCACTCAGACGGAACTTTAGCAGCCATGAATTTCCTGCCGTAATTCACGCTGTGAATTAAGCTTTCGTAACGCTCTTCCTAGAGGACTATCACCTCTTTTCCGTGTAGCCCCGGTCGTCGTACAACTGAGCAACAGGCAATACATCTTCTAGCGGAGCCCTAAGCTGAAATAGGCACTTTTGCCCTATCCAAAGGGCGCGTGCAGCTCTAAGCTAGATTCACCGAGACCTCATTTCTTTCGCAAAGAAATCTATTTGACTAGTCGTTCCATGAATGAGTGAATGCATTCTTCGCTTAACTGCTTTCTTCCTTGAAGCAACCTGGTGCGTGGCGCGCCAGTAGCGGATGCAAGGAACTTCTCTAGAGGGCACGCTATAAGCCTCTGTGGTGGCTGCTTGTCAGTCTGGGCAAACGTTACGCCTGCTGGTCTGTCACGCGAAAGTAAAATTCTATGTGGAGGTGCCAGATGTTTAGCCCCTACAGCTTTCTACCTTTCTGGGCGTTTCTGCAATGTGTGCGGGTGTATATTTATAAGTCCGCAGAGGGCCAAGCTGCGCTATAGCACTTTACGCTGCACTGTATCGAACGAAGAATTAGTTCGGGGCTGGATCTTCAGCTCGTCTATTCGTATTCTCTATACGTTGCTCTGCGTAACTGTGTACCACTATACTGCGTGACAGTATGTGCGATTGCTCGAGTGCTCACAGGAAGCAGCCACTGGCACCCCAGCTGGCTTATCTGTCATTAGGCACTGCCTCGGATTCAGGGGAAGGAAAGGGGAGAACGCTCCTGGAAGGTACTGTAGATACCTCTACTAGCTTTTGCTGTGGGTTTTGGGCTGAAGCCCCGTATTACGGACGCCGTAAAACTGGGCTACAATATTCCAGTACTCCGACTTTTCTTTTGCGGTATCTCGGCTTGCTAGAAGCATGCTCATTTCTATTCCTGCTGCTCCGTGTGTCAAACTGATTCTCCACATTACACCTGTTCGCAAAAATAGTTCCTCCTTGAATGATCAATGTGTTGACTCCATATCGAGACCCTGTACCCAAAATACATCCAAACTACCATTCTTAATTAGTGTATCTCCAACGTGGCTAGCTTTCTGCCTCCTGCCCTCTATTAGCACGATTTCTTCCTCGATGGTGAGGAACAGCCAGATTGCATAGTCGTTTCACCCCTCTGAGCTTCCCAAAGCTTCACACCCCGTTGCACATAGCCACGCGGCGTTCTTTTCTGTGACATAAAAACAAAACCACCCAGTCCGCATATTCACTTCCCTAATGGGTATATATTGAGCATCATTAGCGAAGCAAAGTTTTTCTAGCTTGGCCCTTTACATCTGCTGCATGTCCTAGCAAGTCTTAGCAGCGTGGCTCCTGCAGCTATATGTTAGACAAGCTTGACCTCGCTTGCATAATAGAAGTCATATACAAGGGAAAATGAGAAATAGTAAGCAGAGAGAGCGCCTTTCGACAGGCGTTATAACGAGACGCCTAGCCCCCAAGAACATTCAAACAAGAGCAGACTATAATGTCATCTCCTTCTCTCTACCTTTGCCCCTCACTCCACAGGAATCCAGACTAATGAAGGAAAGGCGAACACAGCTGCGAACATCTTGTGTACCTTATATAAGCTCCACCTTGCATCCGCACACACAGACATCGCATATAGCTACACATACATTCTCATCGTTTAGCTTTGATGGCCTCAGTCAACAACAAGTGGGCTCTGAGAGCCGCTGACTCCTACAGACGGTAGATTAAAATTCAGGTAGATTCTAAATATAGGGTTGAATCTGCCAGTGCTACTTCGGTAGACACGGGGAGCGGCTCGATTCCGGCATGGGCCCGTCTGGTTCTCTTCCATGTTTTGCCCAGAACGAAACGAATCTACATGAAATTTGCTGAACATGCCAAAAACTCAAGGGAGACGTAAATTTTTGGCACATTCTGAGGCGATGCAAGCATGTACAATCGATCAATCTTGCTTGACTGTAAGAGACTGCAATGCAGCATCTCAAGCAAGGGCTGTCTCCTCGGGTGGACGCAGACCAGACGAAGTGCTGCTATGGGAGGTATTGAGTGAAATATAACAGGAAAAATATGTGATTCCGGATATATGCAGGAGGAGTATCCGTAAAACTGTGACCAGTATATTCACTATTGTCGGTTTGCCCGCCGTCGGCGTTGGACTGACGGATGGAGGTGCGCAGACCGCTGGGAAGGTCCCCTAGTACGCCTCACCCAGTGTTGAACCCGCCCACCGTATTATTTTATTTTTGAAGAGAACATAAATAGTGTCATTCTGCCCCTAAAATTAGTACGGGCTTATCTGTTGGGGAAGGCAGAAGGAAGGCAGTTGCCCTGCTCACTGGACCATGATAGCTAAATGCGCTTAAAAGGCCCTTCCCTTCTACACCGAACTCCCGTTGCCAGAGGCAGTAAGCTTCAGACTTGGGTGACTCTATCTTACCGCTTGTATCCCTTACTCTTTTGTGTTTACTTTTCCTCAGCATTCTAACTGAACTACCCAAGGCTCTTAGTCCTTCGTGCGCCTCTCCATATCGCGTAGCGTGTTTAAAGCCTGGGATTTTGCAGCTTGTGTATCTTTTTATTTGCTGCTTTTTGGTTCCTATTAGCTTAAGCTTATTCTCATCATTAACAACTGCCCAAACTGCTGACAATGCGGACCCGTGTGAGGAGAAAGTGGCCCCATCGTCTGGCCTTCAACTTGGTTTTCTTCGTTGCACTGACATCTTTGTGGCCCGACGTGGCTGAGAGTCTACGGTTGACATCGCAGCACCAGTGGGGAACGGAGGGGTCCCTCCAGAGGGCACAAGATGCCCCACCAAAGAGTCAACTGTCCCCCGATGCTGGCTTGTTAAACAAGAGCCCAAGACATGCAACAGCGGAAGCCAACGAGGAACAGACAAATGCCGAGGGTATATCAAGTTCCGCCCAAAATCCTCCTCTTCAAGGTTCTCAGGCGTTGAATGCCTTAACACTAAACCCCCAAGACCCACATGCATCTGCGGACACTCGGAACGTCCTTGCGCTTGCATCGGCACTCAGCAGCCACCATCACAGCAGATCTATGCAGGTGTGCAATAGCCCCAAATCCGAAGGTAAGCATACCGTTACCTTGACCCGTTAGTCTCGATTCCCTCCCCATCTCTTTTGGTGCTTCGCGTATTTCACTCTCATGCGCGGATTAGGCATCCCCAGCATAGCAGAGAAAGTAGGTGCACACCTACTAGCTAGTGTTGTTCAGCAGATTCGGGCGGCTATTTGGCAAAACTCTCCATTTTCCAAGCTTCGCGGATCAGTTAGTTGGCCCAAGGCCACTGGTGCAAAGACGTGTCTCTACACAGCGCCAATATCTTAGTTTGGGCATGCTTGAGTACCGTTTATTACTGTTCCCCCGTATATCCTCAAAGTTTTAATGCATCTAACTTCTGCCATCTGCTCATAGTTGCATCCCCAGCTTCTCGGCGCCGTTTTCTAAGTGCGAGTCCTGCCGACTTCATTTTCGTGGCTGAGTAGGTGTGTGTCCGTGTGTTTGTTTCCAGCAGAGCCATCCGAGTTAACGGAACTGATGACGGCAGGTCGTCAGTGCCGGAACTCGCGTAACCCAGTTCTTGTAATTGATGGGGGCAGCACCGGCACGAGGGGGACCCTGGTTAGGGTAGAGGCAGAAAGCTGTCCTCGTCTTGGCAGGAAGGTGTTGCCTGATAGTATTACCTTTTTAGAAGAAGGAACTAAATTCATTGGCTTGCGTCAGCTTATGGAAAAATGGTTGGATGAGAACGCGGGGCCGGACTGGGCCTCCAAACCTTACGACGCGAAAGCCTTACTGTCAAAGTACCCCAGCATGCTAGAAGCAGGGAAAACCCTTGTGCATCAGATCCTAAACAATGCAGTAGACCTAATTCACAAGCACCTAACACCTTATGAACAAGAGGAGGCGAAGACTGTTGGGGTCCCAGTCCTCTTTTTCAGCACTGCTGGGGTTAGAGACACTCACGACTGGTACAGGCGAGGTCTCTTCGCTGCGTTCATGGAGGCAATCAACAGTTTTAGCGGGGAGCACGAGATCGTCTTCTTTACTAACGAGGACTGGACGCGTCCCATTCCAGGGCTGGAGGAGGGTATGCTGGCCTTTATCGCTACCAATCAGCTTCTGGGGAATTTTTCCATAGCAAAGGACCTTAAGCAAGCTATGGAAAAAGCGAAAACAGTCGACGAAAGGAAGGTACTAGAGAGGGACATGAGGCAAAGCCTCACTAGCATCATCGAAGTGGGAGGAGCTTCGGCTCAAGTTGTCTTTCCAGTGTACGCTGTGGGCAGCAGCCCCTCTTTTGTGAATACCACAAACCTCACTGGAGCTGGTTATCTAAGCGACGATTACCCCAGTCTGGATATTATGTCAACCTCCTATATGCAACTTGGAGCCACCAGCGCTACTGGAGTCTTCTACAAGTCCTTTTGTAGCAACCCAGCCAACCTCAACGAAAACGTATGTCTGAATCCCTGCCTACCTAAGGGATATATCCAGGATTGTTCTACTGGTGACGTTACCATTTCTTCAACGGGAGAGGTCTCTGTAGCGAAAGGCGTGCAGAATCAGCGCGTCAAACCAGCAGCGTACTATTGCACATCATCCAATGACGAGATAGCCAAGAAGGCTCTTAACCGCCTCTCGTGTCTCGCAGCGGGTATCGACCCTGAACAACCCCTTGAGGAACGGCTGAGCATTCAGAATTGCATGCGCATGGAAGGCACCGGAGACTTTGAAGCTTGCGCTGCAGCTGTCAATAGCATCCTCTTAGACCCTCCTCTGCCCCTGCCCGCCAATCAAGAGGCTTCTTACACAGGGTTCGACACTTTGGCCCAGATCTTTGATTTTATGTCCACAGAGTCACCAGTCGTGGTTACCGGGAGGGCTCTGGTGTTTCCTGTGAGAGATTTGCAAGCGGTAGGCCTCCTGGGGAAAAACTTCAAAGGAAATCCCTGCGAATTAAGCAAAGCAGCTGTTCAATACTGTGCAGCCCCTGTTGTTAAGGCGAGTTCTGGGAGCCTTGTGCGCCAGGTGACAGTAGGGGACAGCATTCAGGAGGTGGACGTGACAAGCTTAAATGTAGAAAACTGCTTCAAGCTCGGATTAAGTCATGGATTACTCACTCTCCTCAACAAAAACAAAGTGCACCCCTCTAAAATCACCTTCGCCCTAGACATAGAAGACCCCAAGACTGGACAGAAGGTTGGAGAGTACGGGTGGCCTCCCGGAGCTATTCTTAGGGAGGTTCTCAACGTTCGAACCTGGGCCACTTATGCCTATGAACTTGGCAAAAACCACACAGTCCGCGATAGGTGGAATGCATTGCATGCAAACAATGACCAGGCCACGGAGCCCACAAAGTCATAAGGAGTGCGTTTCGTGCTGGCAACAATTTAGACACCAGCGGAAGTACCTTCACTCGATCACGCAGACAGGCAGCACGTGAAATCGAGTGAAATAAAGACCAGTTACCACATATTCCACCGAATATTTCGTTATGCTTACGCAAGGAGCTGTATCAGAAATGAGCAACAAGACCTCATGCGCGATTAGATTGGATAGGAATGTACTTCCACGGCAATGCGGTGTGGTCCGCGCGTGGTCACCACCTGGTTCCTACGTTGGCGTCGTCTACTTGGCTTCTTCACTATCCAAGGTATGGAGGCAGACTTCCGAAGGCCGTTACACTGAAGACGGCTTCCAGCATCTCGGTAATGCAGACCAGGAATACCACCGTGCAATGCGTTTTTACGGATGGCGTACTATGATCCAGCCCGCACAGCAACGCGCTAGGTCGTGGGCCCGGGTAAAAGTAAGTAGCATAAAGATACAACTAAAGTATGCTACATTTCAAACGGCGGGGGCCGAGGGATGAGTACATCGGGTGAGCCGTCGGCTTGAATTCCGTTTTTGAGAAAATATTTGTGCTCAAGAGTCCTTAGGGTGCAACTTTTTCCTGGGCATTTCGCCGCACTGGTGTAGCTGGCAGAGCCACACCTAGGAACTTTTCGGTATACAAGCAATAAATATTCAATGAAGTATTAGTTGAAGATTTTCTATTTGGTTGGGTGGTCTGTATATCACTCATAGTATAGAATGCTGCTAGCTCGCTACAGTAAGACGTAATGTTGTACGCTGCATGAAATGCGCAACAAGCTGAGACTGCTCAGAGTGTTTAAACATTGCAGCTCTGCGCATACTGCCTGTCTCTCTTCTATCGTGTCGGGAACTCTGATTTACGAGTGGCGGAAGAAGAGGGGAAACATTTCGGAATCAAGGTTGATATCAACTTTGCATTTAGTCTGGAGCTCAGTGTCTCTCCACGTGCATTGAATAAAATTGTTATGTCAAGACCCTAAGGGGGTCGATTACCAAGACTTAAGCCTCTTTTAAAGGACTTTCGCATACCACAGTGCTTAGATCACGGGGGAGAAACGGTAGGTGGGCTGCACTTTGAAAATCTCTTGGGATACTGAGCACGCACCAAGCTGCACACAACAACTTGGTGCATAGGCCCACAGCCTTTCCCTGTTGGATCAAGGCTGCTGTGTGAAGAATCGAATAAAAGAACTGCTGACGAGTGCAGCCAACGCCTCAATAAGTTTTGGTCGAACGCAGCCAGTGCAGTAAAACATGCAGTTACTTGCATCCGATGTAGCCAAACTCTCTGGAAAGCTCGCAAACTATTAAACTTGGTCATATCCTTTCCTTGGCAAAATATCACAGAGCTACCTGATTGGGGCTGGTGTTGTTTGTTCTTTCGGTGCTACACAGGGCCTCATCCATTTGAATAAATGGCAAGAGCCTGCAATAACCATCGATAAACCCACAAGAAAGAGATTCTGGGATATCACGCAATTCGCGTTTTTTCTTTGATGAATTTTTTCCAAACTGCAGTGCAAGACAGTGGATCTCATTGACTACAAAGTAGCTCAGGATGGTTGAGGGCTGGGTGCTCCAGTCGCTCCCCCATCGAATGAGCGATGCGATTGCCCATGATGTGACCCACTCCATGAAACCCTCATCCATAGAAATTTGAGAAAGATATTCTAGTCTTAATAGCTTTGGGTGAACGAAGTTGTGCATATTTAGCATAGGGTTTCCATGACAGCTCTCGCTTGGTAGCGGGGTACTTGCCAACCCCACTGGGAAGTAATATTCAGTTTGTAATCCTCATCTCCGATCACTTCCGTTCCAGTGCGTTGTTATTATTTAAAATACCTATTTCTTATGCGGAACTTCACGGCGGCATACAGGCGAACAGCACAAGGCTTTTTCAGGATTGGGATGCCATTGGCAAGCGCGTCTGGTATGATCAGCTCGGCCATTTAGGATATAGAGGTTGCAGTACAATCATCTTTCCTCGCACCACACAAAATCGGGCTCAGAATCCAGCAGCCATGAAAGACAGCGGGAGACGCCTGCTGTGGTTGTTCGCACTAGCTCTCGTGGCACTCCCCCCAGCCTATTGCTCCACAGGCGTAAAAGATGACACGCCTAATGATTTGGCTTCTGCAAATACCAATGGGCCAATAGTAAAGGGCAAGGAGAGTGAGGTTGCTGAAATTCTTGCCAGCCCGCCGGCATGCTTCCCTGAGTTGATAAGTGCTGTGCCATTCAGCATATACGGGGTAGACAAACACGGAAACCATGTAATTTTCCTCGAAGTAAGTCCTTAAATGCAGCCCTTCAGATAGTCTTTGTCTTCGTAGTTCGTAGGAGGGGTGTGTGGGCCCTTGCTCTGAGTTACAAGTGCGTGTAGTAGCCGGCGCCATGAAGGCAACGGGGGTATTTTGCACCGGAATGTATAGTTTGTGAGGCGCATGCCTGCGGGAAGGGGCTTGCAGTACGATTCGGTGTGCATGAGTGCCTTCATGCCTCTGCAGGGCAGATCAATTAACTGGGAGGTGGTGAGCAGCAAAAAATCACATGACCTTGTTGACTACGTTAAGTACTTGGCGTTGTTCTTCTGGGTCAATGTCGACAAGCGGGCAAACAGTGCCCTCACAGTTGTTGTGGATACTAATGGATTTACACTACGCAAAGTGTTGAACGGGAGCGTCAAGGCGGTCCTCGATGCGCTGGTTTCAGGCCTCGAGTCCACCGTTCAGTATGTGGGTGAGAGGCCAGGCCATGTCTTCCTTCTCAACTCTCCCGCGTATCTCTCCCCCCTCATCAGCCTTCTTTCTGGCCTGGTACATCCAAAAGTGCAGCTCGTGTCCGTGAGCAGCAGAAAGAAATGGGAGGTCTTGCTACAGGATCACGTTGGCGCGTCATTCCTACCAGTTGAGTACGGAGGCCTGAAAGCAAAGACTTTGATGGATTCGCCCTTTGTCAAGTCTATTGACCAAGAGGTTAGAAGGATCCTGGAGAGTAAAACCGCTGTTAAGTTGTAATTTTGTTGACCACATTCCGCGAATGGAGTGCATGGTAGTCTTAAAGGGGTAGGTGGCGTTATGTCTAGCGTCTGTGACTTGTCAAATAAGGGCCCCCTGCCCCCTATGACCTGCAGATTATCCCCACACATTTAAAACTCCTGAAAGGAAGTTATCCTAGGGGGTGGCAATGCACTGCACAATAATATTTCTTTTCGTTCTAACGCTCTAATCTGCAACTGGTGGCGCAAATTGGGTTGTTCCAAACGCGCGCTTCTTGCATCTCCCCAGGTTTCATCAGCATCCTTTGGAACTAACATGCAGCTGTTAGACATGATTTGGACGTCTGACTCGATATCAATTTGAATTGTTTGCCAAGCGAGCATTGTTAGCCCAGCTTCTTTAATTGGGGAGTCTACTTAGGTGAATACGATAGCCAAGAGGTGAGGGGGAGAAAAATTGTCGCAGACACCCTGTTGAACGACCCAGCCAATGCATCTGTAGCACGCCTCTGCCCCAATTTCTAGGGTTTGAACATTTTAGAACGCAGCTGCGCCCTATGCAGTTTTGACTTTAGAGTTCAGCAAGGGGCAAATATGGGTGTTCCGAGAGCCTCCGTCAGAAAATGACTGAGGATTGTGGGCAGCTGAATAGTGCCATAGGAGCATTTATAGTCACTGAGCGTGGGGTCTTGTCATGAGCTGAGTGTCTTCAGCCTTCCAGGCGTTTTTGGTCCTCAGCCTTTTAAGTAAGAGGGCGCGCCAGGCTGCTACTGTGGCCATGCACCCAAGCACTGCCAAGCCTGTCAAGATGACCCACCCGGCACCGCTTCTGTAGCTGCTGGAGGATTCATCTGTTGCTTCAGAGATCCCAGCTAGCAAGTTGTTGCCCAGGACTCTTCCAACCGCCTCGTTGGGGGCCGCGGTGTTGGCCGACCCAACGGTAGAGCGGTGGAGAATTGAGCCAACGTGGGTGTGGCTGCTTGACTCCTGTTGCTCTCGCCGACGCTTGTCATTATGATGGTGCTCGTGTTTCTGGTGTTCATGGTGGTGGTGGCGCCTGTGGTATTTGTTGTGGTGCTTGTGGCTGTGGTCGTTCTTGGTAGAGTTTGTGGTGTCGTTGAGCGCAGACGCCAATATTACCGGTAGCAGTAGCCCGAAGATAGCTGTAAAGAATGAATCCGCCGGGCTTCCTGGGGACGCGCCCCCTTGCGCTGCCTGCGTAGAGCCACGCCTCAGTTTAGGACTTGAAAGCTCACCAGAGCGCCCTCTATGCACTACACGGCTGTTCGCAGTGAAGACAGGAGCTGACCCTGGCCTATGGTATACATCTACCACGGGCACCATAAAACTGCCTTGGCTGAGCCCAAGAGATGTATGCTGTTCAGACGCTAAAATTGCATGGTCGCTCTCAGCCCTGCAAGCAAATGGCCAACCATAAGTGTTCAAGCAAACAAAGCAAATATGCCAGCAAGCACAAAGGACAGCACCGTTCACGTGAACACTATGCACTTGTGCATGGTCGTGGCTCTGAAGAGTGTAGCACCTTCCTACAGACTGCTTCCAAGAGTCCGCGAATGCTTACAGGTCGTCCAAAAGTTCCACCTGCAGCAGAACTACTCCTAAGGCACTTATGTTGAACGTCAGAGACTGCCTGTCTCCGCTATTCAGGCGCCACCTCTTTTTTGTCCAAGCCTGGGATATCTGAAGGGGTACGGGCCTATGCAGTCCGCACCATCGCTGCACTTCAGCGTGCGACACATCCACTGATAAAGCCTCAGTTCTCCAGTTAAATAGAGCCAGTATGTAGTCGCCATCGGCCAGCTGTCTGTACAGCACATCCACGGGCCCAGTGCCTTGGATACGATTCACTGCAGGTATTCCACACACTGAATGCTACTTCAGTAAGTCAATAGCGGATTGGCGCATGCAGTGCCCGCGCTGAAAGCCTACTCAGACACTGACTGTCGCGTTTCCTGCTGGAGAATTCTTGTTTGAGCATCGTATCATTAATGTGAAACTATCGTGTGGCAGATTTCATATGTTGCTTTGCTCGCATGCTCATCTTCTGATATCTGGCTCCCGCTGTTGTGAAGTGTACACAGACTCCTTACCACTTGTGTTCACCTGGTCCGTCGCTGCAGTCAAAAGAACGTTGTCTTCTAGCAGCTTAGCTGCCACACAGAATAGAACGCCGAATCATACATAAAGTCGCGTAGACGGTAAGCGCTCTTCGTGTGCACCAGCAGCATCATAGATTCTATACTGGGAGCTACTCTACTTATTGTGAGCTGTTTCGATGTGGCAAACTCTAAGAACATCCTATGCACCCATGAAATCTTACCCTGCTGGCTGAAGTCGGACGCCGTTGATGAGGTCACAGCCACTTGAGAACCGAGCACTGCCTGAGACCCCACAACAGTGAGTTTGGTGTTGTTTCAAGTGCCTAACTGCACTACGATGAGAAGCGTTAGGCAAAGGCACTAATTTAGTCCAACAACCCGTCTGCTCATATATTAATCATGTTGCCTTCTGAATTGGTCGTTCGCTTTCCCGCTCGTGTGACTCACTGCCAGAGCCAGTAGGGTCTGCATCTCCTCATCGACGACGGGTGAAGCATGAGGCACCTGGAATCGGGGAGCCGCACCACCGAGAGTAAAAGCCCTCCTTCCTTGGGAATGCAGCCAGCCATTTAACTCTGCCTCAAGCTCGGTGCCCCCAGCAACTCTGTGCTCAGGGGATGTCCACTCATCACACAAGTCGAGAAGCTCCAATGCTTTTTGATACCTGCACAGCGACAGCGGAAAATCAATGTGGCAAGGGAACCTCAAGGGACCGGTTGAGCTCGGCGCTGCCTTGCAGGTGATGCGCAGCTAGCTGGCAGAAACACCACTGCCACCAGCTTTTAAACATCCCAAGCCCGCAGCAGCCTGAAGTTAAGGCGTACAAAAGCCTCTTTAAAGACTCACTCATTGTCGCCGGATAGGTGTTGATATGAATGAGTCCACGTGCATAGCAGTAATAGCGGTCTGCTTGAAGTTCTGACCAGTTCGCTCCACCTCCTAAAGTCAGCGACCGTCTGTGCAGTGTTATGGCCGCACGCGTTGAGCTAAACGAAGACAGAAAGCGCGAAAACAAAATCAACTTGAAGATCTAATGACAGAGAGAAGCCTTGTGGGACTTCAGAGCAACGTGCCGATTGAAACAAGACACTAGTGTAGGAAGCTCGGGCAGTCCAATGCACTGACTCTGCATAACAAACCGTATCTAGTTTTTTAGTTGCTCCCCAAGCATTAACCATGGCCCACTCCACTAAAAAGACCTTATGACACTACCCAAGGAGCTCTTTAACTAAGAAGTAGAGGGCAGCGTGGGCTCGCATTGACGATTACATATGCCAGCACTTTTAAACGGGCAGACAAGAAGCCAGAGGGCAGGCCAGAGGCAGAGAAATCTAACTGAGTTGGAAAGCCCACCTTGACAAAATCGACACCCCAACTGGAAATTGCGTTGACGAGATCCGCGGCTTCAATCCTGGGAACATAATTGACTAAAAGCAATAGTAAACGTTGTAACCAAGAAAACTTGCGCCCTACGATGATTCAAAACGCGAAATATTTGTTACGGGAAAACAACGCAAAAGCATGCAATACGTAGTACCCTGCCAAACTGTCCCTGAGGGGCATCAAGAAGAAACGACTAAGCTCGAACAATATCACCAGCCCGCGATCCTTACGCAGTGCTATTCTCTGTTGTGTGATAATCAGCCACTAGATTGCGTAAGTAGTCACGGGCTGGCTTATTGAGGGCGTGATATGGCTAGCATCTGTGTCTTTAATATTGCCCTTATCTTTTCCTGAAGATATGGCCTCTCCCCGTCAGGCTTGAATACTTGGGAAAGTAGAGCTGTGCGTAGTGATCTCAATGACAAAAATATATTGTACCTTCCCGCAACTACTGTTCACATTCATTTTAAGGAAGCATAGTGAGCTGTAATTCTTACCCAGCAGGCGGTGGTTCCATCTCAGTACAGCGTTCAGAAGAAATGGATACTCCAAGGCCGAACGCCAGGCCTTCTGCGTGGACTGAATCCAATACAGATTGAATGCCATGTGAGAAAAGTGCCTCTTCAGGCTGTATTCTGGGATTTATCCTCATTTTTTCAGCTGTGAAGGCTTGTTTTTGATGCTCTTCCTCTTGCTCGTCTTGTGGCGGGAGTTGTGGCCTTGCGTTGGAAAGCCAACAGTTGTCAATTGCAAAGTATCTCATGCCTCGCAGATATGCAGAAGAGCCACTTGCAACTTTGGCGGCCTTTTCAATGTCACTCGCAAGCAGTTGGGCACTTTCGCACTGTCGGCCTGAGACATGCAGCACAATATACTGTCGGATTGCAGCAGGGCATGGGCAAGCTTTCACATCTTCCGACTTCTAGTGACGATGCAGGAAAAAACATTTTGCACCCGTATTACTATTTTAGGCTAGAGCCATGGCAAATTTATTGGCTGCTTTGTCATTCAAGGGTTCAATCGAGTGAACTAACGGTGTTGTGCTACTCATATGAGGGGTACAAACTTACCATCCCATGTTGAAAAGAACCACCCTGCAAGTCTCCTGCTGTGTTTAGTGACCTTAATATGCCTGGTAGGGTCTGAAACAGCTTCCGATGCCGGGGAAACAGGTTCCCGCTGATAGGCTTCTCTCCTGGCCACGGCCTGGACCTGGGGGAAGACTGTGTTTCCTGGGAGACTATCCACCGTCCCCTCTGTCCCAGGACGCATTTCTGACTTACTAAACGAATCAATTTCTGCTGCATTTGCTGTCTTCAGTAGCAGGATTAAACTCAGGCAGCGCGCAGTGACCGCGTGGCCGACCCGCGGACCACTGCCCATGCGGCGAATCTTCATAGAAACTAGAGGAGGTCTCTATCTCAAGTCAGCTCTTTTTCTCGACGGACTACAATTGAAGGGGCCTAATGGCAAATAGTGTTGATGCGGGGTTAAGGTTGTAGGGCTGTGGGGAACGCCCATGTGAACTTGCTCTGCATCCAAATGGGACACGTGAAATAGTGGAATACTGCTTTTTTCCCGTCTAAGCACACCGTATAGGTATCAATTTTTGCTAAAAATAAACAAAGAGGAATAAAATTATTGTACTCATCCCAATGAAATGGTTCTCTAGTCCCTGGTCAGCCTCCACAAGTCCTCCAGAAATGGACACCTCCCCGGCGGTACCAGCTACAAGGAAGCGTTTACTAAAGAGCCGCCATTGTAGCTGCTGTTCCTCAATTGATGTGTCGACACTTCAAAGCGAATATTTCTTCAACATCGTGTTTTTCGTGTTTTCCAGTGTTTTTCGGTAATTAAGGTCCCATATATCCTGTTCAGCTAGTTTTCAGCCCTGAATGACCAGGAGCTTAGCTGTGCCTCGCTGACAAATTTAAGGTAGACCTCTAATGTACTTAGTGCTTTCTACTTGCCACACCAATGGCGTGAAGGGGTCGGTACGCAGTGATTTCCCGTGCTCCTGGATGCTAATCCCTTTCCGCCCTTCTTTCTCAGTAGTTGCTGTTACCGAATGCCCCTCCAACCCTTGATTATCTCAAGCATAACAAAAGTCCTGTGCGGCAATTAGAGACAACAGCGTGTGTCTCGTAGAAGCCAACATCATTCAAATGCTTCTTGTACCCCACAACCCCGCAACGAATCTCCGCAAAAATATCCGAGGCAGCCGTTCAGTGAGTCGGACGCAACACCGCTTCTTGTTTGTGCTTTAAACCGCAAAACCGATTGAGCCTTGTGGTCCTCCAGTGGCTCGTGGCTTCTTAGGCAACAGCCAACCAAACACGTGGAATCTGTAACGCTCCATGCAGTAAGCTAAGTTACACTTGACCATTTTTAACTACATTACTACTACTCTGTAAGTATTAACAAGCAGCTAAGTAGTTGGCTTGTCTTTGAAATAGTCTGAGTACATCAGCGCACTGTTAGCTTGGTCCACGAAGACAATATCGCATGCATGTCTGCTGGATGCGATGTGCAACTAGCTGAATATCGAAACTATTGAAAGGATACAGCTAGGCGCACGGCAGCTGTGCCCCTCCCCTCCTGTCGGGAAGTCTGAGGAGTTCATGCGGCTAAAGGAGAAAAATTTCTTCAGAAAAATCAATAAACATTGAGTCTGGACTTGAGTGTCTTCCTCAGGACACCTTGAATGGAGTGTTACATTTGTTGCTACCCTATGGCTCGATGTTGCTATTCGTTGATTATCAACCGGCTGTGTGTGCAGTGGGATGCCAGGTGTATCTAAGAGACTTGCCCGAGCTCGATCAAGTCATTTCTTGTTTAGCAATGTAATCTGTTTGGCAACACGATGGAAGAGGCACATTCTAACGGTGGAAGCTTTCTGAGGCACGATGCCTGCAGCAGAGGCCGGCCTGCAAGTTGGTATTGGCGCACTTGCTCGACAGCTAGTAGGAAGGCGTGGTTTCTCAGCCGATAAATTGTCTATGGATACGTCGATGAAAATATGTCGAGTAGATGAGTACGGCGACCTTATGTTTCGGTGATTGCTCAACGATTTTATCAGCCGGTTGTAGATGTACCGTGAGTTATACCCAGCAGATGAAGAGAACAGGTGCATTTTGCCGCATGCTTGTTGGATTAAGGCGCACTTTAACGGTAGCTCTACTCCTTTACAGAAAGCTATCTGGCTTCAGAGACTGCTACAATTCGGTCCTCTGTACACGCCCTTACTCCTGTGCAAATGCCAAAATCAGCACAATCGCAAGCTTTGGCCGAAATGAGGAAGCTGGAGCAAAGGAACTTTTCAGTTGATCGGTAGACTAAGAAATATGGAACAGAGCAAGGGAATATATAAAGTGATATGTATAACGAGAAGTGTGAAGCTTGGATGTGCAACAGCCACATCATAGACCAACAGATACATCATCCGTGATTTATTCTAGGTCTAACTGGAGTGTCGTGTCACTTGGCCGCAGGGTGAACAGCGTTTTGGTGATTCGACAAACGTCAAAGCACTTCGGGCAATAGGATCAAGCGAGCGAGATTCCTGCGTCCTTCGCTGGTAAGGAAGAGGCAAACTAGTGATCAGGACTATGGATGTCGGGACTGTGTCAACCCGCCCTATCTTACAGTCTAAAATATACTTAATAAATGAGCCGCAACGAACTCGTACTTCTAAGCAGCCGCAGACAGCACCCAGCAAATGACTGGCTTGTAGTGTGGGAGATTGGGTCACACAACCCAGTGTTGCAAACGCATGCAAAAAGTCAGAGAGCTTGAACAACGGGACTGAGCGCAGCGAAAGGAAGCAGCTTGACGAGCCAAAAGGCACCTTATAGAAACGGCAAACTTCCCACGCGGGCTTCGGCGAAATGAAAGATGCTGCGGAGGATGGAGCAGCAGTCAGAGATACACTATATGTCACGTGTGCCCCGATACAACTCTACATTTGTGGTCGACAATTCCCAGAGTAACTTGCAAGGGGATGTAGAATGGATTTGTCACTCGAGGAAATGGCACAGAAGTGCAGTCTTTCACTCGTGCACTAAGTCCCTTAGGCTCAAGTTTCCTGACGGGCAGCCATACGCACGGATCGGGAACCTACCGCATATAAATGCCACTTCACCTCAGAAAACGTCATATAATCTCGGTCTTGGACTACCATACTGCTAGGCATTCGATGGATAGTAGGGTGCAAACCCACATGAGGCCGCAGCTGCAGGCTGGGGAGGCTAATGTGCCAGAGAGTATTAAGGAAAAAGCACCTCCTGCTGTCCTCCAAAAGGGTGCGTTCTTCTATGTTGGCGCGGTGAAGTCGGTACCTCAACAATATTAGAGGGGCCTTACATACGCTCGGTTCGGCAGCGCACAATTAAAAATCGGTTTCTCGCGCATACCACGCCTAATGACTCTGAAACCGGTTTCAGAAAAGCATCAGGCAAAAGCTTCATCTAAGGAGCAGCAAGAGAGGGCCAATATCAAGGGGGTGACTGCGGATGTGCTAACTGATGACAAGCTGCCAGCACAGTGGCCAAATGCTGGTCATCTAGCGCATCGTATTCGACCAATATCCGGCTCGGCCCCAAGCTATTTTGTACGATATCAAAGCATCCACAGCTTGAAGAGACGATTGGGCGGCAGACGGATCCTTTGTTGAAGAATTCAGAATGCAGGAATCGAAAAGCCCTTTTAGGCATAAAACCGTGTTGTTGCTCCCCAAAAGGTTAAAGATGGTGCATGCGCGTTGATTTTAAGCCTCTGCATAAGACACCTCTGACACGCAAATTCCTGATAGCTCATATTGGCAAATCGTTTGACACTGTACACGTATAAGTAGTACACCTGGCATGTGATATCACAAACGCTTTCTTACAAACCCTTATTCATCCTTGCAACGCGCATACAACGGTGTTCCACATTTGCAATAGCAAACAAATATCCTTCCATGCCCATTGACCTTGTAGTTTCGGTTGTCGAGCTGCAGCGTCAAACTATATCGAGACTATTGTAAGGCTAGCAACGGGGGGTGGATGGCTGTCTCCGAGGACGGCATTTTAGTCTTTGGCCAAAACGTCTACGAGCAGCCACATCGCCTGCGACGTGCTCTTCAGCTGTTCTGGATCACGCAGCAGTATCTGACGGCCAATAATTGTTTTGATTTTGAAAGAAATAAATGTACTTTGGCGCTTCGATGGCTTGGCTTCAGGAATTACTCGACATACGGCAACATTAAGAGCAAACAAAGTGTAACCTTTACATAAACGAACGAGGGACTTTAAAATTATGACGAAATTTCATTTCTGTATCCAGTCACATAGCTGCTTCTTTCACTGATCCACTGAGAGAAATCACAGTCAATCGCCTCGGCAGAATTGGATGATGCCTCACCAAGGGCTCCATTAGCCGCCTTGCACATCCTTCGCCACGATCCTCTGCCTGGGTATGAGAGTCATATCTATTTCCAAACCGGTGTTATTGCCGTAACGGTGGGTGAATTACTCTTTCAATAGCCTATGGGGTCACCAAAAGACCAGAGATTATTGCTTATAGCTCTTCGCTTACCGAACGCGAGCAGCGGTATCGAGTGCGGGAAACTAAACTTTCTACGGTGTGGTGGTGCGTGAACCGTTACTGACACTAATGTGGGCGACAACTTACTGCCCAGACCGACCATCAGTTTTGCTATACCTTACGAAGAGTTTTCAGGATATGGCCAATCCTACATCTGCTCGATGGCTTGGAAACCTGGCACACGTTTTTCCAGTGTAGATATCTCCAATGCGGTGGGTGGCGCGCACACGCGAAGCCCCAGCAATTCCCTAGCGCAACCGCTTATGTCTGTGACGGTTTGCATTTTAAATAAAATCGTTTGAGCCTGAGGTTTTGACACCTATGCGTACGCTACCACTGCCAAGCTCCAGAATGGCAAAAGAGTGAAGCACTGCCACAAAAAGATAGCGTTCATGGTTCAACATGAAGAGGGAACCACGTTCCTTGTGCACTGCAAAATTTTAAAAACGTGTGCACTTTTGCGCAGAGCACACGATATTACTCTTTTGGCCCAAGGTGGAATTCACATTGCAGTCCAGAAGCTCTAAGGCTCCTTTTAGTGGCCGGGCATGCGTCCCGCAGCAGCGGGATGTGCTCCGTCAAGCCCGGAATCTCGGCATCTAAAGCTACGAAATTCTCCTAACGCGGCGCTTGGCATAGACTCATAATTCATAGAAGGATTTGGACTACTCTGACGGTGGACGTAATTGTTTGACTGGTAAAGGCTAAGGGTTAGGATAGTCTACTTCATTGACGCCAGACTCAGCAAATATGCCCACTTATCCCTTGCTCCGATAAAGTCACAGCTCAGGAGGTTGTTAATGCTGTGAATTTATGGCTGAAAGATTCACAGATTCCCCAGGAGTGAAATTGCGTATGGGAATCCAACGTTCGTTGGTGCGTTCCGGCGTCCCCGTATGACCCACCTATACATTGATCGCAATATGATCGCTGCGAACCACCCCCAGGCAGATTAGTACACAGCGCAAGGGAACCACTCTTTCGCAGTACTTAAGACTCCATGCCCACGAATGTCCGATTGTTTGGCCTGCTTTTCTTCCATATGCTAAGCAGGCTTACAGCATGATAGTGCACTCGTCTACCCGTTGCTCCCCCGCATTTCTGGTCTCCACAAGGAGCCATCATCATATGTGGGCCTGGACCTTGTGGTCTGAGGTCAGCAGCCAATCTTAGTAGCGAAGGGTACTCAGAGAGCAGCTGGCTAGTACACGCGAATATGTGCACAAGGCTCAGCAGTCAGAAGCCAGTACATGATAAGCGGCGGTCACATACATGTTTCCTGGATAGCTGATTAACTTAGCAGGCGTTTAAGAGGTGGAGGAGATGGTGAGCAGACGAAGAAACTTGCTGCCAGGTGGCTAGAAGCATTTGCTATCTTCTCGCGATTTGAAACTGATTTTGGTGGGATTCCTCAGAGGTTGATGGTGATGCAGAGATGTCAGTATTGGATTCCTGATAAACCCTTGAAGCGCCACAAGCGTAGCCACGCAGTGAGTGACGCCTTTACAGATGGACGACCCACAGGCAGCGGTGAAATGCTGGACAGTAGGACTATTGAGCGCCGATGGCACACTAAACGCGTTTATCGTGAAATGGGATAGTAGAGTCTAATAGTGGGTTTGTCTGTTCGTATATACTACTTATTGCCGAGTACTGTATTTAGATCAACACAGACCCATTGTGTGCACGTGCACTCCGTACTATGTGCAACTAGTCGTGAAAGCTGAAGTGACTAGAGGATGTAGCAACACATATCCTAGCTGCCGCTTTTCTTTTCTCAAGAATCCAAAGGGGTGGGCAGGGAAAGGAGGAAGTTATTTTGAGGAAGAATCGATAATTTTGTCAAGTTTGTACTGAGTCTGGAATAAAGCGTCTATCTGCGGAGCCCTTAGATCGGCTTTCACCTTCTTTGACCTATCTCTTATGGTGACGTGTCTCCCTGCTCGCACCACTCAGGGGACCGGCGTGGGAAGTGGTAGAGGTAAGGTTGACGTCGTTCAATCATCTACACACGCGAAGCATTCACAGCTAGTTGCACATAGCAGCTGGCGCACATGCACACGGCATTGCGTCTTGTTGAGTCGAGCAATCATTAGTCTGCAAGATGTTGCGAGGATGTACGAACAGACAAATCCATTATTAAATCTATTTCTAATTCTTGATTGAAGACAACTAGTGTGCTAGAGAATAGCGAAGCGTAGCTTAGCCCGTTACTGCACGTGCTTCATCCTATTTTGACGAGCCAAAGTTCTTGGAGTTCGTAACCTCCCCAGCATCCCCTCCTTGGTTAAAGCGAGGTAAAATAATAAAACTGAGAAGGACGGAAGTATTAATGCGTACTCGCGGGTGACCATGCAGCGGCCTCAACAAAAGAAAACAAATGAACTGTGTCACTGCCGCGCAGTATTTGAAGACGTGAATCGACTCATGAAATAGCAAACTGTCGATCTGGCTTCGCCTCTGCACAGCACAGTGAAGCACAGATCGAGAAGGCTTCAGAGAGTTCTCAAGAAGCGCTTTGCGGCATGATCAGTGATCTCCCAAGCGTCATCCAAGCAGCCAAGTGACGCTGCTATTACTGGCACAGAGGGGCGGTCAGCAGGCTTCAGGGGGTTGACAGGCAGGGATTCTTTGGAGCGCATGAACCAATGCGGAGCAGCGGCTCTGTCCCGTCGATGCTGGCGTTCTCCAACGAATCCTGTACAGCAACGACCAACCCACACATGGGGCCTGTACGCTAGTGCAACGGCACAACCCCGCACACACCTCCAACGTCGAGCACAAATTCACCAGCTAAAACATGAGACCGATATGCAATGCGGAGAGAAAAGGCGAGACGGCCAGACATCCAAGAAGGGAAAAAAAGTCTCATAGAAGGCGGTGTGTACTCTGAGAATTGCAGCCTGAAGAATCTCCGAGTTCCCTCCAAATGCACTGTCCAAATCCAACTTGCGCTGACAGCACTGGGCACCGCATCAGGAAGACAATACAAGTAGACCAGATATCCTCTTTCCTTGAATGCTACTGCTTATCAGCAGCCACAACGGCTTTCGAATGTTCCCTTGCAATACGCATCGCTACCGTCCGTTGGTGTAAAAATCTGCATTGGACGAGAACCCTTTCTAGCACTTATTCCCACTGTGCAGAACTCCATAGAGCCCTAAGCTCAGCAGTCACGCGTCGAGGACCCCATGACACCCTGAGTCTCAACAAGCGAGGTTCACCTTGAGAATAGATTCCTCGACTGTGCCGCGGCAGCAGAGGCGATACACTGTAACTTCGTGCGTTTGACCAAGTCGATGCACTCTGTCCTCGGCCTGTCTATCATTCTGAGGATTCCAGTCCTGAAAGAACCCCGTCCAGCAGGCAAAGACCTCCGGCGTAAGCAGCTGCTTTGGAAAAGGCAGCTCTTATAAAATCATGAAACCATCCAACACAACAGAGCATTTCCGAGACTCAGCACTCCCTCCCCCCCTCCCGTCCGCCCTATTTCTCCCAAGCCTCCCGTGAGGATGGTAAAACAGCGTCCAGTGACGCAGTACGCTTCAGGCAAAAGAAGGATGATCTGCAGTCGTTGCAGACTGACGCGGTTCGGAACAAACAACAGCACTCACACAGACTTCGGCACACGGCTGAGGTGCTGTTGCTTTCTGAACAAGGCCTTACCTGGTCCAGGAGGATCACCGTGCGCGCGGCTGTCAAGTTTAGCCCCTGTCCTCCAGCCTTGGTGGAGAGGAGAAAGGCTGTGCACTCTTCTGTCTGATTGAAGCCATCAACAAGACGCTGTCGCTCCTCGACAACGGTCGATCCGTCCAGACGGCAGAAGCGCAACGTGGGCATATGCAGTTGCAAAGCCTCCTCTACAACGTCCAGGAAAGTTGTGAATTGACTAAAGAGCAAGGCCTTCTCGCCCCGACTCTGAACCTCGGCTAACAGCTCAAATGCCTTTCTGCAAACAGGTAGTCGGCACGGTTGCACATAGCGAGCACGCGTTGGCGTTCTCTTCACACGAAGGCCAGCAGGAGCCTCCAGTGGAAATAGTAGCGGAAAGACGAAACAGAGGAGCGACACAGAGCAAGAAAGAAGGTTTTGCACTCAGCTACACCGCAAGATGAGCGGGCAACCGGCTGGCTAGAAAGCGATTTCGCGGGGGGAAAGGGGAGGGGGGAAGCGCCTTTTTGTAGTACCTCAGTTTCGTGCTTTCCAGGAAGGCGTCCGCGGGGAGAGCCAAGTCGGCGAGCTTCATGTCTCCCTGCTCCGCTAACAGGCGAATCCCCTACGCCAGCCATTGCACACGCCTTACATAAACCCCCCCTGGCACCGCCACTCCTCTGCTGCCCCCTGAAGTATAGCGGCAAGCGCTTCCAGAAGTCTCCTTGTTGTAACCCTGGATAAAAAGAATCTCTTCTATACGGAGCTGTTGTTCGAAAGCTACCCTGCCTACCTGATGTATTTCATAGTCGCTCCAGTTGTCGAACTCCGCGCGAATCTTTTCAATCGAATTCCCCTTAAATCCGTCCACGTGGAATGCGTAGTGCCGTGCCATGCGCTGCATACCCCAACAAAATACGCCCACATTTATGACGACGCCCTCCCCCCCTATACACCGCATACGCCAACCCTCGCAAAAAAAATGTCGCCACTTATCCGCCCACTCCCCCCCGCCCTCAAAAATATGCTCACACCCTCACGAACACATCGCACAAGAGAAGGCCGCCAATGCTCCTACAACCACCAATGGCAACAACTGCGCATTGCGGCGCTAACCACGTACATCCTTCTGCTCCGAGGTAAAGCGACCCTGCATCAACAGCGAATGATTGCATATCCGACGGAGGCGAAACAGCATACTGCTGACGAACCGTTTGCCGCCGGCTTCTGCAGCCACACCCCAAGCACGCAGTTCCTTAAACCAGTGACAAAGAAAAGACGCAAGAAGAGATGCATCGAAGACTCCACAAAACACATAAATCCATCCAGATGGCGCACACAGACGCATAGACGCTCTCTCTCTTTCTCTTTCTCTCTTTCTCTCTATGAAAGGGCCTCATTGTGAGTTGTAAGAGGCCACCTGTCCAACTGCCTCTGGAGGCTCAATGCCGCTAGCACCTACCCGGTTCTTTAACTTCACCCCCAGCCTCCTGAGCACATGGCCTACCGGGGACTGTCTTGTGTGCCCTTTCGTCAGTAGTGGCGGGAACGGCTTCCTCTTCTCCCGCAAAGGCTTGGGTAAGCCTCCTGAGAGACATAGCCAGGTCAGATTCGTGCTGTCGGATCTCCCTTAAGTACAGGCTTTTCTGGGTGCCGTCAAGTTCGCAACGCAGCACGATGTTTGTCTTCCTGGGCAGTTCCTGCATGACTTCGCTCTTCAGCCGGCGCAGAATGAAAGGCGATAACACGCGCTGAAGACAAGTTACATCTGCAGGGAGGCCTCCTCCTTCTCCCTGAGAAGCCGCGTCGCCTCCCCTTGACGCCAATGTCTCAAAGGCCTTGCTCAAGAACCCCTTGTCGCTGCTGCTGCTGCTGCTGCTGCTGCTGCTGCTGCTGCTGCTGCCGCCGCCGCCGCCTTTGAGATCGTCCTTCGAAGGGCCTGTTTTCTCCGATGATTCAGACTGCTGCTGCTCCTTCTCACTGCTCATGCCGCCGCAATAGGACCCTGCATCTTCTCCAGATGGCGCAGCAGTGTCAGCCTGAGCCGGCTGCCCCTCCGCTTGCCGAACTTCTTGCGCCTTCACCCTCGCCTTGCTCTGGCAAGCGCGCTGCCGCTGTGCCTGCCTCTCGAACGCTGTGAGGGCAAGATCCAGAGACTCGGCGTCGAAAACAGCAGGCATCAGAAACAAAAGCAGATTCCTCAATTCGACGGTTCTGTTTTGGATGGGCGACCTGCGAGCCACAGAACACGCAGGCGACACACAGCAGCAGCTTGGCTCGTCCACGCAGGCAGTGAAGGCTTTCCCTTTGTGCGTCTAAATAATCACAACAAGAAGACAGCAGCCAACCCTAAATGACTTTCAGCCCGTCTCCCCGCTGCTCCTCGCTGTAAGGAGAGAATCACACTGCCCCGCCTTGGCTTCAAAACGCGGCACAAGTTACCCCGTGAGAAGAATGCGCCGTTCGCAGCGAGCCATCTTGTTGATATTCTTGTACACCTGCGAGTCTTTATTTTTTAAGGCGTGCGCCTCGTCCACCACCAGATAGGCAAACGGTCTGAGCTGGCGGAGATACTGGACATCCCACTTGTTGGAGAGGGAGTTCACCGAGGCTACAAGCACGCGAAAGGGCTTGGAGCCTTGCAGCGACTCAATGCAATCCAAAGCGATACTCCGCCGCTCCGATTGCTTCCCCGCATATTTCACAACGCGGCCAGACAAGTGAGGGGCCCACATAGCGAGCTCGCGCACCCAGTTGTCTACAAGCGACGCTGGAGCCGCCACGAGAGTCGGCGTCGAAAGCAAGCCGCTAGAGTAGGCGTAATTGAAAAACACGCACGTCTGCGCGGTCTTCCCCTGCAGAAGCACACACACGCATCAACAACAAGGTTTCTCCCACACGGCCGTGTGACGAGAACGCGCAGCGGCAGCCGTTCCATATCTCTATACATACACATATATCTCTTTCTCTATCTCTCGATAATCCTCTGCAAAACGCCATGCCCTGCGTGCCGCGGCACAAGAGCTGGGAAGAAGCCTCTCGCGAGAAGCGGCCAAATGCTTCTCAGCTCCTACTGGAGCAACCCACGCAGGCACTCAAGAGGAGAGATGCCTACTGCACGAACACTTCTCGAGAACGACGACACACACACTGACACACACACACTGACGCACACACAATGACGCACACACACTGACACACACACACACACTGACAAGGCACAGAAGCCGCGAAACTGACAGACGCGCCTCTCTACTGGCGTCATCGCTACCGTCCAGCCTTGGCCCAACTCTCGAAAGGCGCAAGCGCCGGAAGCAGCAGCAGCACGCAAAAAACAAGGATGGAGACTTTCTCTGTCTACGACCACCTACCAAGCCCATCTCATCCGCGAGTATTCCGTTCCTGTCCGCCTTATGCATTGCAGCCAGCCAATGAACCCCACACTTTTGATAGTCCTTCAGCCTTCGCCAGCCCTCCCCGCAGTGCTGCTGAAGTGCCTCAGGGATGCACAGCGACGCGCTGCAGTGGCAACGGCCTTCGCCTATTTGACGCCGAACATGTTCTCTGCCCTCTGCAGAGGGACCTCCTAGCTCCTCTACAAGCAGGTTCGTCATTGCCTCTGACTCTTGGAGACAAAGCTGCAAAGCGTCTAATGACTCGTCATCGCTGTCGGATTCCTCACTCTCGCTATCGGTGCTGTTGCTGCGGCAGGCGCTCCGCCCGCTGCTGGAGAGCCGCGTGCTGCCGCTCACCGAGACTTGCTGTGGAGGGACGGAAGAAGACTCTGAATCGCTGCTTGCAGCACCACAAGCGGCCACTCCCCCCCGCAACAGCTTCCGCTTCTTCACCACGGGCTCGGCCCGCTGTTGCTCTTGCTGTTGCTGTTGTTGCTCGCCAGCCGTAGCAGCAGCGCTAGACCTAACGGCAGCAGCCACGGGCTGCTTCCCAGCGCCACCACACGACTTACTGCTGCCACTGCTGCAATTCCTGCTGTGGCTCGTGCTGCAGTACCTCTCCAGGCTCCCGCTTCCGAAAGAGAGCCAGCCGGATCGCCTACCTCCCTTGTCGTGTAGAGACGCTAGACGCACAGGGGGAGATCCTGGCTGCTCAGAAGCTGCATCCGTCCCGACCGGACACCCCTGACCACCAGACGGAGTACCTCCTACTGAAGACGCTTCGCAATCTGCGGAAGCCATGGCCTTTGAGCGAGAGGCGGCCACCTGTGCAGCTGCGACTTCAGACGCAGGAGCGAGGGTTCCTCCCACGCCTGACTCTGCAGGCACTCCTTCCTCCGAGGAACCCTCGACGCACCGAGCTTGCGGCACACTGGGGAGGGAGCTGCTGCCTCTAGAGGCCGTCCTGTAAGCGAATCGCCTCCAATCAATGCACTCAACTGGCATTACAGTGGTGCTACTAACAGAGAGAGCACCCAATGAGCGATGAAGCAACACAACACGCCCACTTGAGCCGGAAGTTGCCCGCCGCAGAATTGGATGTGCAGCGAATTGCGGCGGCGAGGCACAGAAACAATCACCAGACAAACGTGTTCCGAGCTGTACACCAAACAAGCTGCATCAGAAGCTACCAGAGGGAGCGTCCAGGCAGCCCGCAAGCAGGCAGCAGCGATGATGCTGAAGACACTGAGGCTGCAGGGTTCTTTTACCTCAAAAGACCACCGCAGGCCAAGGAAGCCGCACGAATGCACAGCGTCAGGGCAGTCGAGTCGTTCCGGACCGGCCGAAATTGCCAGAGAAGCATAATGAGCGCATCGCGCAGAAAAATGAGGGCTTCCAGCATGAGCTGGACAGGCCCAGAGTGAGAAGAAGACACGCCAAGCGCGCAAACGCCGCTAGAAGTACGAAAATGAGCAACAAACTTGGAATACAGACCGCGAGATGCTCCGGAGAAGGGATGACCACTAACAGGATTGCCAGCTGCGTTTCTCCCTGTCGTGGGGAGACACGGCCAGCTAGACACGCCTCTACAAAGCCTGACGCTGGATGGAAGCAAGCGAAGACGCTCGTAACAAAGCGTTTTAGGCCGTTGTGCATACCAGGCGAAGCGGCAAATCCCACCCCAAAGCACAGTGCTCCTCTAGGAGGTCTGTCCACTTGGGGCCGGAGGGCTGAGGCTACGGCATAGCGGGACTGGCACCGTGTAAACAGCGGAGTATCCTCTAAAAGACGAATAATAAATGAGTATGTCCTAAGTTTCTACCCTAATACGATTGGCAAAGCTGCAGAGGACATCGTATTCGCCTTTGTCAATGCTCTTCGGGGGGTGCTAGGGTTTCGTCCTTCGTGTATTCCAACTGGAATATCGAAACCGCGTGTTCTTAAGGTCACCTGCCAACCAGTTTCAGTGAAAATTGATGTTGCTGACCTATGGATTCGGAACCAAAGATGACATGAACTTGTTCGCTCGTTGCACCCGCATTTCCAGCCACTGGCAGACATCCTGCTCCCAAAGCATGGTACCTGATGAAGCAGCACGTCGTTTCCTCGTCAGCCAGTACAAGGGTCCAGTTTTGACCAAGTGTTGCACACACCCACGTAAGGGTCAAGCTAGGGCCGAAGCCAAAGAATTTGAAATTGTAGGCAACTCTGCGTGCAACAGCGACACACCGCAACACGGGGTCAGTTAACACAAATACACAGCTACTTCAATCGTTATATTTAATCGAAATTCGGATTAGAATGGCCGTCTGCTTCGAGTGCACGTGTATGCTTTTTTGAAAGCACGACTAGCTCCACACAAGCAATGCGTGCTGTGCGCTGAGTTACCTTGCTCGACTGCTCGCGTATACCCCGAGCACTTAGAGGATGCATCCGCCTGCAGCTCAGCTAGTCTTACTCCCATCATGTGAAATCCCTGTAGAGAAAAGCACGGAGATGGCTGAGATCTTGTTCAGGGACATTGCGCAGCGTTCACATATCTTAGCTATTTGGGTTTTCTAGGCAGACGATCTAGGTAAAAATGGCACAAGCCAAGCGTTATATTGCTGGTACTAAGACGGATGCTTCATAATGATTGAGAGCATCTCTAACTTGCTGGTTCTGCATGTACCAAAAAGTGATTCAGAGAGGTACGACCTGTACTGTACCCTGGAGCCAACGTACTGCTAAGAAGCGTGTGTTTTTCCGCGCTCTCCTGCGACTGCCCACAGTAAAATGTTTCATATCTTGCCGCTGAAGAAGTGCCTAGTCGAATGGCAAATTTTAAAGCAGCACTGAGGATCATGCATTGGTCTTTCGGCGTGCGCTACTTTTAGCAAGGACAAAAATAATCAGTTGGAAAACCAATAAGATGTTAAAGGTGTGGTAATTAGACTCGACGGAAAGGCCTGGAGCAGGAACAATCATTTGAACTATCATTTTACAAGCTAGTGAATGGTGACCGGTGCTAGGGTTTACATCCGTGGCTGAGGAAGAGCTAGACGGAAGCCAAACTCCTTTAACACTACATCATTCATGATAACTGCACACTGCAAGACAGGATACAACAGGCGTAGCTGCGTTCTATGAGCGATACATTTGTGTAGCGCAGCAGTTCTACTGATACTATGAACTAGTCCTTCGCAGTAGCTCCAATTTCGGTAGATATTCGCCTCTTTTATGTTAGATCATCCAAGTTCGTTTATTTAATTGTTTTTACCCACGTAACAGGCTTAGACTGTATATAAATATATGTGAATATACATATATGTATGCAAGCTTGAATATAAATAAGCAAAACCCACCTAGCCTGTCAACTCAAGAACCTCTAAGACGTTTGTCTATTCTTGTGCTTCGAGTTTTTGGCCGTGTTCAGGACATCAGCTATAGACACCTACACGCCGCGTGAAAGGCGCTTTTGTTTTGCAAGCTTGTTGCTCAGCATGAGCTTGCAATTGGGAAAGATGGCTTTTTGTTGCGTCTGCTTAGCAACAGAGTTGTATAATGTGGTTGCTTTACGAACTATAGTAGATGAACACTATTACAAGGTCATTACATTGTAATGTTCTTACAGCGCTTTTACGCAAGCCAATTAAAGGCAATCGCAAGAACTTTGGGTAGACTAGCCTTCCACTCAACTTAATGCTCTTCGTATAGTGCACCCATGTAGGACTAGATTTTGCTTGTGCTTAATGTGCCTACATTAACCCGGCAGTGCAAGATGGATATCGCAGAAACAAAGTTGCATGGCATATAATGTCATTCACTGTCTAACAAGTAGAGAGACCTGGCGTGCTTCTTTTGCTTGGTCCAACGAGAATGTTTGGGCACTGGCAGAGAGGCTTTTAGGCTGAGTTGACACTCGTACCAGTTCTCAAAGTCATGGTGCATGAGCCTCAGTTATCTCTAGTGATTACAGATATGAGACAATGGAAGCAAATGCTGGGCTGAAAGGACACGAATCACCACAGTGAACAAGGAGAATACAGTCTCCTTGTGCACGTCCAGATGAAAGAGGTACTGTGTGTTGTCCCGTGAGCAAAGCTACACCACATAGCTCATCTGGATCAGAATATCGAGCTGCGTTTTACTAAGCTCTGAAAAGTACGTAACAAGCTTCGTTGCGTCCCCCGAATCCAAAGGGTTTGTCCCTCCGAATTGTCGAGTACATGTACGAGATGCAGCAAGGCGAGTTCCAGCTTATGATTTTTTCAAAACAGCAAAGCGCCTTTAGCGGACATTAAATTAAACATGTGCGCATGTAGCAAAGGGTAAGAACGACGCGGCAAAGCCAACATGCTGGCGCTGGTATACTATTATGGAAAATGAGCACAGTTTCCTTACAAAGGGTGGTCTGGACAGTGAAAGACCACAAGTCTTCCTCTCCTAGCTTTTACATCTGTAGACCCCAAATAGACGTTTACTAAGCGAATCACAGTCGAGGAGGACTGTTTGAGGTAGGCCTCCGTCTTGCGATTCTGAATTCGGCTGGAGCAGTGGGCTGCTACATCACCAAACCGCTACTGAATGAATTTGCCGAATTGAAAAGCGAGTAGCATGTGGATCTCTCAGTGGAGCATGCGCAAGGCCATGTACACGCCGCAAACTGCATACGTTTCCTTTTGCAGCAGCGTGTGTATATGTTCATGAGTGATGACGGCTTCATGTCAGTTCGAGGTGCTTGAATTCAAATTGCGGATCTTAACGTGAAGCCATTCTAGCCTTTGTATTAGTGAGCTGGTGTGCTTAAGCAACAAATGAGCTAAGCCTCTGATCCGACTATTTTCTTGGCTTCAACAGTACGTGTAGTCCAAGCTGGCTGGTGAAACGAATTGAGAGAGCAGCCAACGATTGCAAAATAAACGACGCGCGCCCCCATCTACCGCATGCGCCGTAAACAGCATCCGGAGTGCTGCTATCAGATGGCCGCTACGAAGCCAATTTGAGGAACCTTCTGGCCGCGCGCCCACCTGAAATGCATTCGTCTCTGATCTGAGTAAGCGACTCCACGAGAGCGTTGCCACCTTTCTGTGTTTGGCCCACAAAGAAGACTAGAAAGCGCACCGTAGCACCTCTTATTTTTGAGAAATTGCGGCCGCGTATCTATCTGATATCCTAGGTGGTGGCATAAGTGGTGTGAAGAGTATTCTCTAACTTCGCGGCTAAACATCGAGCCTAAAAGGCCGATGAGGGCGTTCACGGGCAGCGGCAAGCGCGTGGTCTTTTGAATCATGCCCTCCTCCATGAGAGGCCCTCGAGGATTCTCTGTTAGTGGACGAGTTGCCGTATACTCCCCATACCCACTTCCCCACACCACTCCAGCCCTTGGATTTGCTGCGGTGCCTTCTACCGGACCCTAGTTCGCCGCTTCCCTCTCCACGGTGCCTGCCTCTTCGAACCGACGCAGCAGCGTTCTCCGCATTTGCAACACTTGGCACAAGAAGCGCAGCAGCAGGTTGTCCAGGGCCTCCGACGCTGCGCAGGAGGCAGCATGACACCACAGAACATGAACGCATGCTTGCACAGGCGGGTGAGTGCAAAAACACTTTTAGCGCTTTCCCCCCACACTGTTGCATGCCTTCATATGCTGCGCCCTGCCGCATTGTCAGTCTAAGAGCTGAGCGTTTGGCCGTGTTAGCGGGATGCTCTGGCTTGGGGAAAGGCGGCCTCCCGCCGCTGCTCATACCCCTTGAGGCTTTGCTCAGTCGAGCCTGTGGAAACTTCGTATCGAGGGGAGTCTGGGTGCCTCCGCGCTGCATCGGCCAAGCAGCGGCCGTCGGCGTCCAGCATAACGAGGAAGTCGTTCACCCTATCAAAAATATCAGTGCCGTCCTGCAGCGACGCATCCCACGGCCGCACGCAGGGAGTAAATATATTTCCTTGCATAAAACACACACACCTGGAAGTCTGGCGACTTCAAGAACAGCTACGAACCAGCCTTGACTCACCGCAAAGGCTATCTCGTT